AGAAGTGGTTATACTTCAGCAGAGCAGATGGCCAACCCAGCTCCACACTCAGAATATTCTGAATGGAGACCTCGGAGATTGCTGTTTGTCTCCAGGTAGGCAGTGCATCACCCCCTGCACGGACAGAACAGAACAGAATTCAGACCCTCAGCCAAAGGAACTCACAGCCTGTCCATTAAAATACAAGGTTTTATATTCACCACATGCTCACAACTTGTTTTCTTAACCTTTAATGACATCGAGAAGCTACAGGTTTATAAATAGATGTGACAACCAGTGATTAGATGCCATTTTGGTGGAAAATAATCTGAATGCTATAAGGCTACGTTACAAGGCATTATTTAAAAAGTTGATTTTGAACTTCCGGTGATATTACGTTATTTTCACAAACATTAGAAACAAACATTACTTTGCGAAGGATCAACACTGCAGAAGAAAGTGCAACCAAAAGGAACAGAGCAGTGACATTTAGAACAAACTCTTTCGTCAACAAAGCCCGTGTAAATCAAGGAAACAATAAAAGCTCACATGTTACACTGTCTTGAACAGACAGCAACTCCATTACCAAGAGCAGCAGTTCAACACTATACTGGAGGAGTCAGGTTTGTTGAAATGGCTTCAAGACAAGTAACTTCTTGCCTGGCAGTCAGTTTTCCTGTCCCCCACATGCAGGTGTCTGCACCCAGGCACAGCTGGGGTGTCCTGGCCTTTTGAAAATACACAATATTCTGCTGCTCAGTGCTGCCCACTCAGCCAGTTACACGGTGCACACAATTGCTGGGATGCGGCAGTTTGGAGACGGGACTCGACAGTAATCCAACAGTGCTGGGCCCACTGCTTTTGAAGGGCTTTAAAAACACACCTGTGAGCTGTCTGAGAGGAAAAGTACAGCACAGTTTGGTTTGTTGCTAAGATACAACATTTGAAAACATGATGGTAATGCAGTGCTTCCTCCTGGAAGGTGACACGGAGTAGAGGAAAGCACAGTGTACGACCCTGCATTGCACGTCCATGAAATACTGTCTTGCTACTGCTCCTCAGACTGTGCTTTTGGTTTAGGGAAGTCAGACACAACAGAGCCTCAAAATCTAACACTACTTCAGACTTGGTTTCCTTAGTGACACTTTTAACAATATTCTACACACAACACACCAACACAGCAATGATACCAACCAAGTTTACCCCTAAAAAACCAGGTGCACGGTAATATTGCATAGAAAGGTCTCCTTGGTAGAAATGCACTGGGACTAGGGGGGATTTCCTGCCTTGCTAAACAAAAGCACATACATTTCAAAAAGCATATCTCACGTTTGACACTTTTCTAGCTATATTCTTTGGAATTGCTAGTGCATATGTTATTTCAAGCATATTTTATTCTGCATGCTACTATTTGATATTAAAAGAGTAAAACTGGAAGGAAAGCTGTTTTTCTGCCTCCCCCCAGAACGGAATGTAAAGTAATTTTTCAGGTTGTTGCATAAAAATAAAATCCAATCCTTCTCAAAAACAGAAAGCTCCAACACAACAGAATAGCTGAAGGAAGAGGATATTCATAAAAGACAGGACAATCCTGGGTTAAAAAAAACTGCAAAATAAGTTACAAGCAGCATTCAAGAATTGAGTAAAGAAAGAGCCCACATTCACCTCCTACCTCAAACTGTACATGACTGTAGAGCCTTAATTTTGGTACTCCACCATATTTTCGTTTTGGTAGGCAATCCTGCCACAGTCAGCACGTGGACACATGGAGTGCGTATGGGAGGAGAGTTAGGGGGAGCCTGTCAGAAGGCCATGCAGCACAATCACAAGGTAGAAGTCATTTTCTTCAGCTACTCCTTACAGTGAGCACTTGAATCCCAACGTACAGAGAGTGCAGAGAGATTAAGCCCACCTAAAAGTTGTAACTAAAAGCATTATGCAGCATCAGAGAAATCACAGGAAAAGCTGTAAGGATGATCACATCTACACAACTACATTCCATAAAAAACTAGAACTTCTGCTCTCAATAGAATATATATATTTAGAACATCTGTGTAAGTGGTAAATATATACAATAAATATATTTTGTTATACTATCTATAGTCACAGTTTTTTTACCCAGCGACATAATTTTAGAGGTATACCAGGAAGATGTGGTTCTGACAGTAAATTCTGTCATAGTAATGTAGGAAAATACTATCAAATTCTTCTGGCTGCTGCAGATAACAGCTGAAAGTGCTCCAGGAATTAGAATTATTATATTTTTAGAATTCATTTCATTTGAATAAGAAAGCCATTGGCATTCTGTGGGACAGTTAAGGAACAAATAAGATTTCTTCCTAGGAAATGCTGAAAGGCACGTAAAGATTCCAATATAGATATTTAATAGCATTATATATTAAATATATTTAATAATGCATTAAAAAGCAGATTTGGAGCATTCTTGTAGCTGATGTTAAAACACAGAATTAGCAGATGCGTGCCTGTTGGTGCTACTGAGAAACATTTCACATATGTGTGAAGAAGTCGTGTCTTTATATGACCAGACATCTGCTCACTGCAGTGATCCACCGCCCCCCACATGTGCTGGAATAACAGTGTGCATTTACTCTGCTACTGAACGACACACTGAGGCACATGCATATGCATCAAGAAGTTATCTGCAAATGGTAAAAGAAGGAAATGATGAATTAACCTGAAGAAATGCACATGTATTGACAATGAATGTGATGTTTCAATTCTTGTCCTTACGCTAACACAGCCAGCGAGCTGAAATTTGGTCACTTAATTGGTTTGATTCTTGTTGGGATTTGTACTAATTGGGTAGATTTCAGAAATACTGCTGTAAGAGGCATAGAATTGCACGCAAAAAAACCAAGCAGCTCAACTGTGCAACAGCAGACATGAATGTCTATGGGCATACAGAACAACTTACTGCAGGAGGGATCACCGCACTGCACATGAAATAAGATGGCACATTCCATAAAGCTACGACTCTGCACAGTGAATGACAGACATCTCTGTGTCACCAAAGACACCAGTGATGAGTAACTCACTTAGAAGTGAAGCACACTACCTAAGGGTTGTTGCCTTGCCTACACCACTCTACATCACTTGGAGGGGAAGGCGGCGTGGGCTTCAGTCAGACCAATGAAAATATTTGATATTTTTGTTCCAGAAGAAGTCTGGCTTAAAGACAATTCGCCCCCCCAAAAAAAATTCAAATATTTTGCTCTGCCTCGCACTCAGTGCACCTGCACTTTTTTTTTTTTTTATTTTAAATCTGCCTTGAGAATAAACTGATGTGATAGAAGTGAAATTGTGTAAGCAAAGCAGTGCACCTTTGGCATGTATTGCTGAGGAGTTTCTATTTAAACACCTCAAACTTGTTCCACAGACTTTGCCAGCAGCATCCTCTGAGCCACCTGGGCCACCCTCGAGGCTTTCAGAAGTCCCTGTGTGCCTCCAGAAGACTTGGTCTTTTACTGGAGTTACACACATGTCACTGATAATCTGCATTCAAGCTCAAGCCCATAAAGCTACCCACAAAATTTAGAGCTGAAGACAGGCTGAGCTGCTTCAAAGCTCAGGAGTCTGCTTTGCAAAATGCTCTTCTGGTGTGCTACATCCCACAAAGATTTAATATTCAGATATTTATTTGACAAAGGGGTTAAACCTTCATAAATAAAGTTATAGCTCTGGTTAACCTCCACTGCACAGAAATTGCTTTTTCCCCACAAGCAACAGCATTGGGATGCTCCAGAATAAGTTTCTGTTTAGTATGTGGGCAGAGAAGGCCAAGAAAAAGCATTTAGGAAAGCTACAGCAAAACTGAAGAGATGTTTGGCTGTATTCCCACCACATCTCAAAGTGCTTCCAAACAGAGATAAGTCCTTTTCCTTCTCTCCAGCATTAAGGCTCTTACAAAAAGCTAGGTTTAAAACTAAAAGACACTTGGGCTTTCATGAGAAAGTACACCACTTAATACGCTTTTATCACAAACTAAGACCTAGTTCTGCAATTCTATCTTTATAGACAAATAAACACACGGTGTTACTTTATTACAAGATCAGGGCCTTAATATTCTAACACGTGAGATGCTCAGTAGGTCCTAGCAATATGTTTCTTTTAAGACCAGAGGGATGGGAAAACTTGGTAGGGAACTAAAACCAAGCTATGATAATATAGAGCAGCTACTGTCACTGTGATTTTCTATTAGGCCAGAAAGAGGTCTAGAAGAATTAAAGGAAATGCTCTTTTCCCATCATGTAGACAAATCTTTTTCTCCAGAGTTCATCAGTTCAATTGTTCTGACAGCACCAGGAGACATAAGTGCTCCCAAATCCCATCCAAGTCAAAAGGTTCCATGAGAACTTGACACCAACCATGCTGTCTGAGATACTTACTGAGATACTAACTCAAAAACACATTAGAATTAACAGAATTAATGTCATTCCTGAAAAACCTAAAGAAGATCCAAAATGTTCAAGACTGCATCTTACAGCCCTGCATGAGATCATGTCAGAGCAGGTCCAGAGGACGGCCACAAAAACACTCCGAGGGATGGGACAGCTCTCCTATGGGACAGGCTGAGAGCTGGGGCCGTTCAGCATGGGGAAGAGAAGGCTCCAGGGAGACCTGAGAGTGGCACCTAAAGGGGCTGTAAGCAGGAAGGACACAGACTCTGTAGCAGGGTCTGCTGTGCCAGGACAAGGAGAAGTGGTTTCAAACTAAAAGAGGGGTAATTTAGACTGGATATAAGGAGGAAGTTTCCTCAGTAAGGGTGGTGAGGCACTGGCACAGGTTGTGCAGAGAGGTGATGAATGCTCCATCCCTGGAGTCACCCAAGGTCAAGCTGGATGGGTTCCAGAGCTGTAGGAGTCCCTGTTCATTGCAGGGGAGCTGCACCAGATGGCCTCTAAGGGTCTCTTCCAAATCAAACGATTCTATGATACCAACACGAGTTTTGCCACTCTGAGCAGTGACACTTCAGAGGTCCCTCTCCTGCACGCAGACACGCAGACACGTGCTGAGCTCCTGGAGGGCAGCACCGGGCAGCACAACCTGTGTCCACTGCCTCAAAAAGCAAGCTGGAAAAAGAAAACCCTTCACTGCTCGTACCAATCTAAAGCACAGCTTTGAAGGCAGAAGTCAACGTACTCTGCCATCCCAACGTTTTTACTGATACACTTATTTTCATATGGCAAGACATGGCTTCTCTTCAATAGGTCAGAGCTCATCCAGCTTTGTGAAATCTGCCTTTTTCCAGAATGAGGGAGAAGAAAAACGGGAGTGTTTTCCAAGCACTCCTGCACCGACAGCTCAGCTGAGGAACCTCAGTCAGACGGGAGATGGAAATCAACCCGCAGGGCCGAGAGCCACCGGCACGGCCGAGCTCCCGCCACCTCCGGGCGGGGCGGCTCCACCGCAGCGTGACAGACCCTCAACCGCACAGCGCCGTCTTTCAACGGCAGCACTTTCCTAAATACGCTCGAGTACGCCGAGCGCACAGCCCACACCCGCCGCCCGCAGCCGGACGGCTGTCCGGGACACAAAGCACACGTCGGTTATCCGCAAGCAATTCCAAGCGTCCTCCGCCGACTTACAGCGCAACGGCGCGGCGCGGGGCGAGGCCGGGGCCGCTCCGTCAGTCAGATGAAGTGGATCCAGGCGCTGCTGTCGGGGTCCTGCGGCGGCCCCGAGGCGGGGGAGCGCGCCCGGCCCCGCAGGCGGTAGTTCGAGCCGCCGTTGTTGTCCCAGTACTCTGCCCCGGCCACGCGGTAGCGGACGGCGAACTCCAGCGCGGCCTCGGAGCCGGCGGCGGCGGGGCCGAGCGGCAGGTGGAAGGCGAAGCGGTCGGTGATGCCGTCGGCCGGCCCGGCGGGCTGATAGGCGGCGGGCACCTCGCCGCAGCTGGCCCAGCGGTCGAGCGTGTAACGCACCGACACGGCCTTCTCGTAGGCCAGGTTGAGGACGCGCACGGCGCCGCGCAGCCCCGCGGGTTCGCAGCGCACCCACTCCAGCCTCACCTTGTGCTGCCGCACGCGCTCCGCGAAGCCGGGCCCGGCGCCGGGTTGCGGCGGGAACAGCGGCTCCAGCGGCGGCGGCAGCGGCCCGAACAGCACCGGCTCCAGCTCGCCCAGCACCGGCGGCTTCCCGGTCTTGAAGAGGTCGGCGCGGCGCGGCGCGGCGGGCGGCGGCACGCGCGGCAGGTCGGCGTCGCGGAAGTGCCGCACGGAGATGAGCTCCAGGCCGAGCGAGTCGGCGAAGCGCACGGTCTTGCGGCGCGAGGGGCTGTGCCGCGGGGCCGGCCGAAGGCCGCGCTCCCCGGGCGTGGGCAGCGACTTGGCGCGGCGGCGCTGCGTGGGGCTGGGCGGCGCGGCGGGCGGACGGGGCTCCCGGCCGCGGGGTGGAGGCGGCGGCTTCTCAGGGGCCGCGTCCCGCGGGGCGGGCGGCGGAGGAGCGTCGCCGTCGGGGCTGCGGCCGCCGCCGCAGCGCTCGGCCAGGCTGCCGTAGAGGCAGGCGCTGCAGCTGAAGTTCCGCGGCAGGTAGAGCCGGGGCGGCGGCGCGGGCACGGCGCCGTGCAGCGAGGCCGCCTTATCCATGGGGGCGGCGGCGCTCAGCGCTCGGCGCTCGGCGGCGGCCGTTCTCCCGCGGCCGGTGCCGCTCTGCCCCGCGGGCCGTGCGGCGCTGCGGCGGAGCCGGGCAGGGGCGCGCCCCGAATCATCCCGCCCCGCCGCTGCCCTACTTCCAGCACCGCGCCGCCGCCTTCTGGGTCTTTCCTCGAGGAGTTCAGCCAGGGGGAGGAGGAGGAGGCGGCACAAGCAGGGATTCCCCGGCGGAGGCGCGGAGGTGCATCTCGCGGCGCCGTGCTCCGCCGAACGGTGCCAGAAATAGCTGCGAAAGGAAGGAGCGGAGCCGGGCTCGGGCAGATTAAAGGGGCCGATAAGAAACAGCTGGCTGGCAGCTCGGTTCTCGCAGTGCACATTTAAAGGAAGAAATCCAACTAATCCGCGATAATGCGGTTACGGTGCATCTGCTGAGGGAAACGGACGCGCCCGGCCGTGCCGCAGCGCAGAGCAGCCGCCGTCACGGCACGAAGGGTGCGAGGCGCGGGGTTTGGTGCGATGACGGCCGGCCGGCGCTCCAATGAATGGCAGGCGATGAGAAACGGAGCGGCGCAGCGCTGCGCGGAGCTGAAATACCGCCCGGCAGAGCCGCCTCGCTCCCTTCTTTCCGTAATCTGGTGCTCGTTTTTAATTAGTAAATTGCATTAAAAACAGTGATCCTGCCAGAGGCTGAGCCTGAACTGTGCGGACGTGTAATTCTCGCTTAACTCCTGAGCTTTTCCACCTTCGTCATTCCGCCCGCGGCTCTGTGACCGGCGATGAGGGTAACGGTGGGAGCAGCGAACCTGACGGAACCGAACAGCCGCCAGAACACGGGGCACAGCTCAGTGTTGGCTCGCATCGGGAATATCAGCTTCAATCCCTTTCTTAGGAAGCGTGAAAATAATTGCCAGGTTATTTCCAATGGATTCCAAATCTCCTTAGAGACACATAAGCAAGGAAAAATTATGCCTTGCAGTGTTAAATTTGACACCATTATTGTTATTATTATTGGTGGCTAACGTTAATTTCAGTTTAAAACCACTAAACAGAACTTCGTGTATTACACGAATATGTAAAGTCTTTGTATTTTTAAACGATGGTGAGACTATGATAACTAATAAGCTGCAGTGGCTGAAAGCTGTACAGGAAAGGTGTTCAGTTTTGTCTTTGTGGTGTAGTGCCGACAAAGCTGCTTGGGCTCATTTAGCTTCTGCTGCATTTCACACAGTGGGGATGTTCAACTTCCCCCTTCTGGTAATTTTAGTTGCTTCACTACTTAGCATAAGCTTGTGTCATACTTCTGCTTTTTGGCTTTTTCGTGTCTCTCGTTTGCTTCACAAAATTCTAGTAATATTTCATGAAAAAGGAAGGAAAGAAACAAGTCCTTTCTGGACTGATGACTGTAAGCTACAGAGCTTGTGTGACAAAGCTGAAAAACGTCCATTCCCCAAAGTTAGTAAAGCCAGGAAAAAAAATAAAGTTCCATGATAAGAAAGCAAAAACCCAACGTGTTCAGCTTTGGACTGGTCAGGTCAAAGCAGTGTGAGCTGCAGAGGGGCAGCCCTATAAACAGAGCCATACCATGAGCTGCTCAGAAATTTGGGTTGAGTTCAGCTCTTGCCATCATCAGCTGAAACCTACTTGTAACTTTTGCCATCTCTTTTTTTGCAAAGGAAGGAGTAGAAAGAAAATAAATGCATGGCCACTATAAATAATTTCAGAGACAATCCTTGTGGAGTAAAGCTGAAAGAAGGCTTTTTAAAGGCTTCTGAAAATTGGGAATTAAATGAGACTTAAATAATGAAAAGCTCAGTGTAGCAGCTAATCCTACAGGTGCTCAGGTTTTCACCTGCAGTTTCCCTCACACACCTCAGCTTCTCACAAACATCTCAGCCTTGTCTTTGCTGGGCACTGAAATTTACCAGATGTGCACAGACAGCTTCTCCAATGGCCTTGTGCTGCTATGGGTTTGTAACAGGAAGGAGCAGACACCTTCATTTCTAACAGGAAATGATTTCAGCTTTGCCTGCTGTAAATATTTGTGCACCACGCTTGAACTCTTAGAAGTGAGCAAGTGCTACAGCATGAACAGAAACTGTGCCTTAATATATGCAGTGGTAGCCATACACCACCCCCTCTGTGTTACAAACATGTACGTTTAAAAGTTGAATCTGTCTGCTGTTTTACAGCGCGTTATGACAGGGATGTTAGCCAAGGCTCCTCTGTGAGTGGGAACGAGATTAGTTCTGCTGTAGCTTCAGCCCCTTCAGCTATCATCTTTCCGCAGGAAAATAGTACTTTTATGATGAGACAGTTTTGAAAGTTCCAGCAGGAGTAGACCAGTTGTCATGTAAATGCTGGAGCTACACAGTGTTGCTCTATTATACTGTAAGAGAACCAAAAGGTTTTATATTATATTAGGCATAGGAAATGGCAATCAGTCTGGCACTGTTGGCATCCTTTTGCACATTTAAGGGGTGCAATCATAGAAAAAAATGTTCTCCTAATAACGCTGTCCTACTCACTTTCTGCAGACCTTCCAGCTGATACAAGCAGCTGAAGACAGCCTCTGCTCTGCTGCCTGGCATTGCCTGGCCCTGACACTTCTACAGTGCCAGACTGCATTTCAAGTCAGCCCAATGCCTGAAAGCTTCCAGCTTCTCATCTTGCCATTCAGTCCTCTATTTTATTATCATTTAAACAATTCAGAGAAAAAAAGGCAGAACTGATCCAAATCACAGAGGGCAATGAACTGAGCTCTCTTCTGCTGCATTTGGCTGTTGTCCCGACTCCAGGTAATCTAGGAGAAAGCAGATGCTGGTGCTGGGGAGCACTGAGCAGAACTATGAAGGAACCATTAACAGGGAGAGGAGTGTCTGTGTGCTGGGGCTTATCCAAAGTGGCCATTGTCACATATCTGCTTCAACTTTCCAAAACAGGTTTATTTATAGCAATGAGAATTGTGGAGAGAGAAAATGGATGTAAAGATGAAGAGCATTATGATTACATCAGCTTTTGAGATGAAGCAGTGACTCAATGCGTGCATTCAAAAGGTTGGCTTCTGCTCTCATTCAATTATTACCCTCACCTAACCAGGACATGTGGTCATTATCTCTGAAGATGTAAGCTGTACGATGCACAAGAGTTTATCCAGGATGTTTGATTTGAGGGGTTAGTGAATGATTTCCAAGGGACTGCATGTTCTGATGAACAGAGAGGTGACAGCTTGGAGGGTTACTCTGCAGTTGGGAAGTTTGGATTTAAATATACACACATATATATATATTACTTTAAATATCAGGATCCAAAGAAACCTATGATAATAAGAAAATGGAGTTGTAAGAGTTTACTTCAGTTCGTGACCTTGTGAATCTGCCTTCTGTGTGCCCTGATGGAGCTCTACGCAATTTTATTAGCTAAGCGTTAACCACCCCTCCAGACTCTGTGATTGGCTTTAAGGCTTTGGGAAAGTGTGGGAGCTAAAAAAAGCCCCAGTTAAGACTGCAGTGGAAAAGCAATAAATAAACAAACAAACAAATAAATAAATGAATAAGAGACCTATCTTGTTCTTTGGAAGTGAAAAACACCATTCATTTGTAGTATTTTTTTCTCATAGAAGTAGCTGTGTTCTTTTTAAAAGGATTCACAGAATCACCAAGGTTGGAAAAGACCTCCAAGATCACTCAATCCAATCATTTACCTACCACCATTATTTCTCACTAAGCCATGTCCTTCAGTGCCACACTTCAGTGCAAACCCTTCTTGGGTGACTCCACCACCTCCCTGAGCTGTTCCAGCTCCCGACCAATCTTTTGGAGAAGAATTTTTCCTAATATCCAACCTGATTGCTTGTTTCCAGCACAAAGTGGCAGCTGGTAAGGTGGGATTCCTGCAGCCTGTAACATGGCTTGTCCTGGACAAAGGGAGTGAACGCACTTTGGGATGCCTGTGAATCCCATCTCCTGGTAGGAGTACTTGCGGTTCCATCCTGGTGCCATGCTGTGAAGGAGGCACAGGACCAGTAGTGCTCGCTCATGATTTTAGAAACTAAAATACATTCATCACATGATTCATTTCCATTTCCTGTATTTTTCCAATTTATTATCAGTTGGTCAGGCAGTGATCCACTGTGAGAGATGATTCCTTACACTGCACAATTCACTGTAAGATCTCACTATGTTTTCTCCATCCCCCTCACAGTTTTTCTTTCATTTCCTATCTGGTCATTTCAGATCCATTTTTTCAGATACACAATTCTCTTCCTATTCTTAATACTCTTCATGCTCTCTGCTTCCTTCAGGTGCTGTCAACAACTTTCCCCCACCTCCCATCCCTCCTGTTCCAGGCCAGCACTGCCTCCTTTCCTCACACAGAGGCGTGGGTTCCGTCAATTGTCAGAAGCACTCCTCAGGCTCACTGCCCTCCAGGCCCACTGCCAGCCCCTGGCACTGGGGGAATGCAGGGAAGGGGAAGCTCAGCCATGCCCCCCTCATCCCTGGGGAAGCTTCCCGCCTTTTGCAGAGCTGGATGGGAAATAACATTTTTTTCCTCTTTGAAACAATTTCATGGAGGTGTGGTTGCTAATCAGTTTTACACACAGTGAGGAGAAGTTGTATGACCCCTCAGAGAGCAGTGTTGACCTGTCACAAATAAACACGTCAGAGGTCAGAGAGCCTGTTCCAGCTCAGCATAAAACTGAAAATCCACATGGAAATGTTGTGATACTCTCTGCTCTATTTTTCAGTTCAGAGCTCTTTCAGAACACGAGGTAACTGGATAGGAATGACATCTGCATGTTATTTTGTTCTTAGAAGAAAACTCAAATAGCAGGAATGCTCATTTGCATCAGCAAAGACTATTTCCTCTACATTTTTCTCCTTGCAGTGCTCTGGACTGCCTTAGATTTATCCTTTCTCTATGACCAGGTGCACGGCTGGGATAGAACCAATCCACTCGCCTGCTTTCAGTTGCAAAAGCAAGTCAAACTTTAAGTCAAACGAAACTTCCAAGTGCTGCTTAGACACGTAGGACAAGTAGACACCTGCTTAGACACTTAGACAAGTGCTCCTGTTCTGCTCAGACATGTTGCCACCTATTGACAGAAGTGCAGATCAAGAAGCCAAGACCACAAAACATTAGTTGAAACCAGAAAACAAATTAAGTGTAGATGCCACCACCAGTGATACCACTTCAGGAAGAGATGTCGATCCATTCTACCAAGTCTAATTGCTGTTCTACAACACATGGCATTAAAACAGTAATATGGAACAAAAAGGGTGCACTCTGTTCAAACCTAGCAAGGTGAAAAGAGCCTGTCAATAAAAGCCAACTGTATGTGGAACTGAGGAGCTCTGAACAATACATGAAGCAATAAAACCCCAGGCACTTGATGTGCTTGATCCACATGACTTGGAATACTTGACTTCAAAATCTTCACAAATACTTCCACCTGTGAAAGATGCCACTCCCAAGGACACTTCAGACCCCTCTTGGAAGAATAAAAGAGGCATTATCTCTCCGAAGGTGCTCAGTGGTACTTCAGTTGATACTGCTTCCCGTAGCCATGATGCTAAGTGAACAGAGCAGAAGGATAAAAAGGGAGCCGACATCATGAATGAAAAATGAGGGGAAACGCAGCAATTCATGAACTACCACAATTCTTCTCAAGCCATACAGAGCTCACACTCCTGCAAGAAGATCCTGAGCAGTTATCCTGGGACTTTTCTCCCTGTTAATTTCCTGTTTAATTTCCAGGAAACATGTAAGGAATTTTTTAGCAGTAGCTCTTGTCCTCCCTGCTGTTCAGTCACAGTGCCACAGTTACCCATTCTGACAGAACAGAGACATCCTCCAACAAGCCATTCTCTTCCTTTCTTCGTCCCCATCCCTCTCACTTCCCTATAGGCAGTATCCTTTCTTGTGCTGTGCTCCATTTACACTTGTCAAGTCCTCTCTTTTTCACTATGTAGAAAATTCAAACATGTATGCATCTATGAAATGAATAACATTAGTAGCATAGCCTGGAAGGAAAAATAACAGTCTCCCATTCAGAGAACAGAAAACATTACTATTTCAGTGAGAAAAAATGAAAAATAAATGGCGTTAACACAGTAAAAAACACGTTCATTATAGTGATTGCAAGTTGCTCTGCAGATGGCTAATAAATTCAAGACAACAGAAAAAAGGTTAAAAAAAAAGGTTAAACATTGAAATTAAAATACATATTTCCCTGTTTTCCAGTTCCTCGCCAAATAAGACTATTTTGCTGAAATCTCTGAAACAGTCAAGTATCTCACAGATTAGGAGTTCTTACTATAATTTGATTCATAAGCATGTGTGAAAATGGATGTAAGTCACAGCCAGAAAATACAGAGGACATAGAAAAATCTTTAAGCTCTTTCTCTTGTATAGAACGAAGATCTATGTTGAGATTATGATTGCACTTGCTTAGGGTACGGGTGATTTTTTTATTGTTGGAAGAGCCCACAAATAACTAACATAGCTCTACTGTTGTTTCATACGTAAAAGGTTGCACAGAGATGCTATCAGGTATGAACCAAGCACTCCCAAAATACTGGTGAGCAGAATTGCTACTGACATGCCTTCTGTAAGCATGGCAGTGGTAGCTTGGAGACTCGGCCCAGTCAACCAAGTTAACAGGAAATCAATTAAAAACTGATTACAATTTAGTTTCCAGCAAGTCCGCTGCAAGAAACACTGTTTCCAGGAGGGGAACATTTCTAGTTTACTGAAGCAAACCTTCCTTTGTGCTTCCTTCACACAAGACTTGAAAGAAAGGGATAACAAAATAAATGTAAGAATTTGCCAAGAAAGGAGGGAGGAAAGTAACAGAAGGCACCCAGAAAGGCTGCCAAGTAAAGGCTTAGAACATAAATTCACAGCACGTGATAAGGCCTAATTAAGTTATGTGACCTTGAAGACATTGGGTTCATCTGCCACAGGAAACAGCAGCTTCTTGTTTACAATCAGATTCTCTCAGGAATAAAGCCAGTCCTGTCCAGGGAAAGGAAACAAACTTAATTGCTAGATCAGCTGGAAGGGTTTCCTGTATTCAAGGCACTAAAAAACAAAACAAAAAAAAAGAAAGAACTGCTGATAAGTGTAAGAATACAATGAGACAACATGAGACAACACCTGAAAGTTAAATCAACACTTTATTTATATGTCCAAACCTCTCAAGGACCAATTCCACAGGACATATCAAATCCTGGAGCCAGAAAGAAAACTTGCCTCTCCCTTCAGTTGTTTTGATGGAATGCAGTCAGCTTGCGCAGATACAATTTCTTGAGGCAAAGGAAACTCAGAATCTACATGCAAACTGATCAGCAGTGCTTTTACCACCAGCGGAAGGAATAACAGTAAATTCTCATCAACACCAAACAAGAAAGCATTTAAAAAATGGGTGGAGCTTCCCTGATTTCTGAACAGCCATAATCTTCCTTTCAGGCTTAAGAGTCTGTCCTGCCTTCCAGACCATCTCGACATCTTCGAAAGCTTCACAAGAATGGTCTGTTTGAAGTGTCTGACTGCTGTCTGTAGGGCAGATCTGCTCCGTCTGAATAATAAGCCTGAAATAACACCACTAAACTCACCAGCGTCTCATTCCTGCAACAGGAATAGCCTGTAACTTCAGCAAGGACAGTCAGTGCCTTATGCATCTGATTCTTTCAAAGATAACTTTAAATGCTCTAAAGAGAAATGCATTCAGCCTCCAGGAAATACCTTCCATCCTTTGCTACCACTACAACTGAAAGCTGCATTGTGCAAATAGTGACCTCAGCACGTAATAGCACTGAAAGCAGCAGCATGGAACACCACAGAGTGTTTCAGTAGTGACTGCAGCCACTGCAATGGTACAGCTGAGCTTTCCATCACACAGTGTGTGCTCATTCATCTTCTCTGAACTAATATGCGAGTTCACAAGATATATAAGAGCAGAAATCAGCATTCTGTATTTTCCAAATAACAGAAAAGGTTTGGATCATTATTACTAAGCACAGGGCTTATCCAGGAGGGGAAAGGGACAACTATCATCCACGCTCCTACTCCATCTAGTCTAGCTTTTTAAATTTTAATGGTATTAAAAGTTACTCTATGCATTAAAATATATAGCAAAATAATATAAGCTAATAAAAAGGACTGTAATTTTATTGTAGGATATTCTGAAAGCTAATCATCAGAACATAGTTAATTTCTGCTTAGGACTCTTGAAAATTACAGGTTTAGGTAAGAGTGCTGAAAAGCACCAAGTAATCCTCCTGGCCCAAGAGCCTCTTGTGGAAAAAAAGACTTACCAAGGAGCAGAAACTGCTGCAGAGGTGCTCCTCGTGTGTACAAGATGATTAAAGGCAGATTGAATTTTGCACACATTAAGTCTGAGATGAGCACCACTCCTCCAGCCCAAATGCTGCTGGTCAAAAGAATCCAGCCCAAGCTGTATACACCCAACTTGGCACAAAAACTCTAAGCAAAGGCTCACTTAAAGGAAAGAACCTCCCTGATGGTTGTTTCAGATTCATAAAAATACAGCATCTTCTGATTACATTTGTGTTGTATGTTTTAAGTTCCCAGGATTCATTGAGAAGTAGAAAAACACAGGAAAACTTAAGTTTTTCCTGCCTCTGGAGATGAAGGACTGACATTGTAAGATTGCTGTAAGTCACAAAAACTACCAATTCAAAAGAGAGCTGGCTTTCCAAAGATAAGATGTTGCAGAGCAATGGGTGGTACTTACTAACAGGCACTGTATGCCCTGCTCATGCCTCTACAGAAGATCACAGCAGAAAACAAAAGGCAAAAACTGATTGAAATTCACTTTATTCCAAAATATGTATAATTTACAGGACTAAAGAAGTGCTTCATCTGTGAACACAAGGTTTCAATACTTGTGTGAATAATTTACTAGTAGCTCCGTGTAACAGTTCAGTTTCCAACATAAGGAAATATGAATCAGTATTTTGGCACAGTTTTTTTTGTTTTTTGTTTTTTTGCTGCATGCATTGATATACTTAAATGTTTCACAATTGTTAGGACAACATTCCTTCTTTGGGACTGTCACTCGTAAAACAGGTATCAGAAACAAATACTTGCTCTTCTCTGCTTATTGCAAGTTTATTGGCTTAAATAGCAAGAATCAAACATGAACAACCTTTGAAAACCAGATTTGCCTGCTAGAGCCCACCAGTGATGAGAATATTTTCAGGACATTTCTCAGCTTTATTAACTCACACATGCTTTGGGAAAGGCTCAACCATGAGATGCATTACTCATCATTCTAAATAGTTACAAGTTTAAACTAGATCAATATCAGGTTTTGAATTCTGTAAGTTGAAAAAAAATATGGCTACTTTCATACCTAGCTTTATTTTTACCATAAATGCACTCGCAAATATCTGTAAAATAGAGTACTGTCAATCTAGCTCTGCAAGTGCCTGAAGCATGCATGTAAAGCATTCCTCACTGTGAAATGGCTACAGCAGGGCTTACTTCATCACAAGCCACCCATCATATTCCACTGCTAGTTACGTTGAAGATACTCCTGAAAAACCAGCACATGAGAAAGAATCAGAAGTGAAGGACTTCTTTTAACTAGAGATCTGCAGCTCAGTCAGAGATTTCCACTGTTTCAGGCTGTCTGATGACGTTTTCAGTAAAGAGGAAGAGTCACACACATGAAGACACACATCAACCTGACTGCATGGCAACGCAGAACTGAACAATGTAGTTCCTTGATGCTGTTCACTGCACAGCAATGGCACTTTAAACAAGAAAATGCAGTCGTGCTCTAACCAGTAAATCCTTTTAGCACCCATTTTGATTCACATGAACCACAGAAAGAAACAACAAATCAAATCAAGACCCACCGCAACAAAAGGAACAGAAGATGCACGTTTGCACCATGCATTGAAGCAGCTTGCTGTTCAACAACCCTATCCTCATAGTGTTCAAGTGGAATTGTTACGGAGGTCTGTTCACAGTAGATCTATTTTGAACACAAGCATAGCAGCACCTTCAACCAAACAGGAATGAAAAAGCTCACAACATTAGAAATATTTTGGTGTGAATGTATTTGGAACTGTAAATTGTACATTGAGATGATGGTAAAAAAAAGAAAGAAAGAAAAATGTCAAAAGTAGCCAAAAGGAAGCTGTGCAAACTGATAATAAAGGCAAGTAAGTTTGGTTCACCTCTGAGTTGTCATTTCAGTAACATTTTGCAAGTTTAGCACCTTACATTGATTCAGTATGGTTCTACTGATCTTACTTATCCCACATTTGAAAGGTTATTAAAAAAAAAGTCAAAATCAAACAACCAAAAAGCCCTGAAGACCCTAAGATCCCAATCCTGCCAATGCCTACATCTCTTACCCAGTCACACAGAAAGATCAGTTTGCATCTGTCTCAGCACGTGAGGGTGTGCTACCAGGATAAAGACTTAAAACAGTGGAAGGCAGTCACCTTTCTTTGTTCTGTTGCCTCTACACTCTCAAGGTATATGGCTAACAAGGAAATTTAACCTTTTGCTTTCTTTCAATTGAGAAAAGATGTGAAAGTGAGTCTTGAAATAAAATATGGAAAGGATTGTTAGTTACATGCATTAAGTTACAGACCCTGAACTGTTTAAAACTGGAGGTTTTTTTACAGCTTTTAAAGTTAAATAGCTGCACACATCTTTTTCCTTAAGATTTCACATCCTTTGGAAGGGAGAAGTTTCTAGACACAAACAGCTTCACATAGCTAGATTCTGGAGCATTAATACTTTAAACTAGCAAGATCTCTTAGGCTGCCTTTAAGAGCCAGAGGAGGACTCCCTCCTTTCCCAAAGCAGAAACAAGCATTTACAGCCACGGTAGTGGAAACGGACACAAGCCTAACTCCAAAAAATAGAAGAAACTCTATTTACTCTCACACAAACAAACATGTAAGGCAACAAGACATGATTTAAGACAGAACTCTATTTTTTTTCTCTTTTTCTGAGGCTGTTTTGTGCTTTTCTTAGAATGTGTGTCCTACGTTTTCTTGGAACACAGTTAACTTTTCTAACAGTCAGTGCTCTCCCAGAAGCCAAAAGTTTCATGTACATCTGTTCAGTTTTGCCCACTCACGCACACTAACAGCCAGTGGGGGATTACAGCCATCAGTTGACCAAACACAGATGTAAAATTGATCTTTTCTTCTTTCCAGAGAAGCTGCACTGAAGAATTCAAGCACGGAACTTAATGTACACACAACTGTATTCTTCTTAAACAGCACAAAACTAAATTCTGCAAAGATAACTGTGACTTATGATTATCCTCAGCTATCTGAAGAAAACTAAGACACTGATATTTTGAAATTGTTTAAAACAAATTGGATAGCATAGCTAACAAATTCACCTTTCCTGACCAGTTCTTAGCAGAACGCTGTAGTCTCAGCAAGATTGAAATTACAGTAAACTAAATGCAGGAGGAAGGTGTTTGGTTTTTTTTTCTGACATCGTCTGATGGACCATGAAGAATTTGGAAATAGCCTGACCAACCACAGCAATTTGTCAGACTCTACAGGTTAGTGGAGCACTATCTTTCCCAGAGACAAAATACTGGACTTGCTGAAGCAGCGGTTAAAAGACAGTGGCATATCTCAGACTTTCTTCTTAAATACAAAAGAAACACACAGGTCTACCACTAATTAGACTAATTAAACTACTAATTCAGTTTTAGAATAGTATTTACACAGACATCCAGATCAAGAGCCAGCAATGGCAGCGTAACTTAATTAAGCAGGAAATGCAAAGAGCAAGCACAAGTAGTATTAGTATCACTTCCAGATAAAAGTCTGTGCTGAAAGGTTGTGGACAACCTGATGTTACTTTTCATATAGCAGCTCAAATGGCAGTGGAGGACACAGAGGAGAGAATGAGCAAAATAGTAAGTCACTACTGACCAATACTTACAATAGAGTCAGAGCCTTGAAAATCAAATCAGAGTCAAACTGCAGAAAAAGGGAGATAAGTATCATTTTAGTACTACCAAGAAATAGCTCTCAGTGAAGTTTATTTTGAAAACAATGGTCAAAATAGTCCATTACCCATTTAAAATCAATTGTTTCATTTTTAAGAATAAGCAATATTGACTAATGATATTTTGGACCAGTTTTCAGTAGCTTTACTGTGGGATTCAGCAACTAAAACAGCCTGATTGCAGCCTTTGCGTTTTCACAAAAATATTTAATATATCCAAAATGAAGGACATACGCCACCAGTGCAGGACTCTGATACTTATCAGGTCACTGTGTTGACTTCAGTATGGCAATTTAAAGAGCGGCAAGATAAAATCAAAAGGTATTGCTCATTTTCAAGAAAACAAGCCAGCTGTGTTGGGTGAGTAACTGTGACTGTACTCCCACATCCTTGAGCTGAAGATATGAAGCTGTGCACAAAGCATAGCAAGTCTTCAAGAACTGCAGCTTGGACAGCCGTTAGTGGTGGGACGCCTAGCAAACACACAGCCAGTACCTCCAACAACAGACAAGTAAAGCCCAGGAACATGACATAAAGATGTTCCATTTTTCAATTAATGTAATAGAAACTAAAACCCGTCCAGGACAAAACCAGAGGCCTACATTTCTGCAGGCATTACAAGAAGATAAGAATCAGTTAAGGCCAAATTCCAGCATACATTCACAACTGGCTTTGTTTTTTCCATGTGAATACATCTGCTACAAGCACAGTACGAAGGGTAAAATAAACATACAAAAATCCAAGAGGTCACATGTTTCTCTTTGACAGATCAGTCCAAGTTTTTGATTACACTCAGAAAACTTTCCAAAAGCTACAGGAACCACCTGCTCCTGACCAATGTGCAAAAGTAAAATACATCTTTTCTGAAGGGTTTTTGGGAGCACATCTCCCAGCTCTGTTGTATGCAGGTGAGTTTGCTTCAGTTCTGGAAGCATAAATCCAAGTACAGGAAAAGAAGTATTTCACAGAATTCAGTTTCTCATCCTTGATGGTTTTTGTTTAGGTAGTGGAAATATAAACCATTGTGACATTTCCCAACTTACATCTTCATAGGAAATAGAGGACTTTCAGAGAAAACAAACCATCCCAGTTTCTGAGGCACAAACATTGTAACATTTGTGTCTTACAGTCTGAAATAATTCAAGCAAATCCCTTCTGAAGACTTTACATTACTTTAGTCCCATTCATGACACGGGCTAAAAGGACATTGGAACAATTTTCCAACTGATCATGTATTCTAAGCTCTTTTTCTACCCTTCAAAGGGCATCAGTAGCACCTGGGAAGAACAACTACTGTTTTCTACATGTTCTGTAGAAACCATCAGCGCTCCGTAATTCAAGTCTACATGTATCTATGGCTGCTGGACGGGTGTTTAAGTTGCAATGTTCTGAACAGGAGAAAGAGCTGTGAAGGCATAAAGGAAAAGACAGTACGGCTTATTATGTTCACACCAGATGAAAAATACAAGCTACCAAAAAAAGTAAGCAGAAGTAGCTTACACTAAGAGAATCCTCCCCTGCAATTCAGGGAAGCATCTGAATTGGACAGGCCAGGTTTTGGTCTAGCACAGTGGAACCCCATACATAAGCCAGAAATAGATACACATGGGACACTTTCAAAAGGTTCTTCAGTTTAAATGAAGCAGTTTGTAAAGAAGATTGAGCAAAAAACATAGGCACCACAAACTGTTTTTTTAAGGTTCAAATGTACATTAGCATGTTATGCCCCCCCTCCCCTTTATGCACAGATAACTTATGTTGAAGTTACATTTTCAATTTAGTACCTTCAGCATGAAAAGTCTTTTAGGCCAACCGCACACAGTAACTACATTCAACAATGCGAAATGGGTTACTTGGTCGATGCATCTCTCCCACCCCAATAACTTAATTTCAAACCACAGGAAACAGTTCTGTCACACAGTACTCAATGACTGGGCTTGTCAGAGCTCTGAAACAAGGAGCACAGCTCTTCACAGGTCTGCGTCTCTACTGAACTGAACTGGGACTCCATTGTATTCCAGGCTAAGTCAGCCAGAAGAAAGTCATCCATTGCTGTCTGTGTCTCGTTGCTGGTAAGGAATAAATTCCCAAGATTCTCAAAGCAGCTATCCATAGTCTGTGTTTCAGCACTACTGAGCTGGACTTTGCTTTCTATGCTCTGGTTGGGTATGTTTTTAGTGGCAGGATATACTTCTGTCTGGGTTTCTGTATCTGAGGAGTCAGTGCTCATGGAGAAACTAGACTGCTTCAGAATACTTCCTAAAGGCAGATGGGTATTGCTGTCCAAAAAGAAATTCAAGTCTGTTTGTGTCTGTGTATCAAACATCTCCAAACCTAAGAAGTTAGAATTTCCTCTGCAGCTGTATGATTGAGTGGCACTATCTGAGAATAAGAAATCAGTTTGAGTTTCAATATCTAGTGACTCCAAAACTGGCTCGGAGGGTAGGGTACCAAGCTCACTCTCTTCAGTCTGAGTTTGGATATTGGACGCTGAAAAGAACTCTTCAATGTCAAAGTCTATTCCAGTGCTCTGTGATGAACCAGATGGCAGATGCGTGTCAGCATTAGAACTAGTCTCAGACAAAAGGCCACGATTATCCAGTGTCTGGCCAGACATGTTTCCTGAAAAGATATTTTCCAGATCACTTAGCAAGTCCATTGTCTGAGTTTGATTATCCATCGTATTTTGAGGTGGAAGTATATTAGCCTGGCTACTGAAGCCAATAAGAGATTCAGACTTCACTGTGTCTTGATTGAGGCTCTTGCAATTACTCCTCTGCAGCAAGGTTTGATCTATATTTGTAGCCATTAAGTTATTTTCTGGAAGTTCAATTTGAGTAGAACCATTATATGATGAATGAACATTTTCAAAGATGTCACTGCACATTACAGCCTGGTCCATTTGCACTCGTCCATCGATAGAATCCTGCGGCCTACTGGTTTGAGTCTCTCTAGAAATGCCACACGTTGGAAAACAAGCCTGACTAAAATCATCAGTCTGAGCAGCTATGGACGAAGTCAGTTTGGAAGCAGGCAGTAATGTCTGTGTCTGTACGCTGATGGGTAATGAAACCTGTGAACTAAACGACAGATCTGTCTGAGAACAAGAAGATACAGAAGAATCGGGAGTCCAGGCTGCAGCTGGTACAAAATTTGGAGAAATATAAGATAAGTCAGTCTGTACATTTATTGAAGAAATTTTATTCTTGTGACAAACATTCCCCAGCTCTTGTCCTGGGCTATTTGATGCAACCTTATCCAAGTTAACTTGTACACCAGTACTTACTGCTTCGTTATCACCAGAGTTTGTCACTTTTGAAACTGGCATAGTATCTTTAAATACAAGTGTTTCCGCCTCCAGTGCTGGAATCAGAATTCCCACAGATTGAGGCAATAAATGAACAGTACTTACAACTGAACCTTGATTATCAACAGCCACTACAACAGGCTTGACAGAAGAATCTGCTGCAGATACATACACAGGCAAGTGAGCAAGCTGCATCACTGGAAGTTTAACCAAAGCCACCTTGGGCTTTGGCAAAAGCATCTTCGGTGTACATTTTGGGTGCACTTGCTTTGTGAAGTTAGAATTGCAGGAACCTTCAAAAGATGCCACTAGTTTCACTTCAGATGATTCCAGCTCCTGAGTCCCAGGGTTATTACTGTGTGTATCCATGAATGCTTTATTTGCTTTCTCTGACAACTGCTGATTATGTACAGAGGTTTCCATTTTCCTTTTCTTACTAGGAGGATCCCTGTGAATATGAGATCAATAATTTATGTTCCCTTCAAGCACAATACATCTGCCTTCCATTTTTTGAGCCACTGCATTGCAAATATTAACTCAAGTCCCAGATGAGGCTGTATAGGACTAATCCTGATCAAAATAAAAAAGATCTCCATGAACTTCTGTTTTGTAAAACTTCATGTCTTGCTCTCCCATTAAAAAAAAAAAAAAAAAGTTTCTGCTTTTATGAAGATCTATGTTCTAAGTGGAGATTGAGACTCAGAGGCTTTCTCCCCTTTAGATGTTAAACACTGATCTGAAGGCAGTTATGCTGTGATTTTGATGCTAGCTCAGACTGAGCATTGACAAGAGGGGTTTATGAAATTGCTGTCAGGTAAAGGTCTCTCACAGAAAATGAGGACACAATTAATTTTTGTGTAAAGGAGCAATAATTTTGCTGCAGCTGAACCTCCAAGGAAGATAGGGTATGCCTCAGGAAACAGATTGCCCTTTATGAAACACAGGTACACCTGAAAACAACTATCAATCAAAACATGCATTAAAAAAAATAAATCCACTTACAGTAGCAAAGTTGACTAGGCTATACAAGAAAAACTCAATTGCATTGCACACCACCATTACAGCTGTAAGCACTTCCAAATCATCTCTACTTCCACAGAACTGTAAAAGCAGTTCCAACAAGAACCACAAACATTTATGCCATGCAGCAAAGTGTCATCAGTAACTTGCTGATGGAACTTTTTGGTTTACATACAGGGAAAACTGATGGTATTGATTAGACAACTGTCCTTGCCTGAAACAAAACAGAAACTGCTAAGAGCAACAGAACAAAGAAATGGCAAATTGCTTTATAGCTAAAACAATCTCAGCTAAGCTCAAACACTGTCAACAGAAAGAAGACAGAAAGCCGGTACATGGGGGACAGAGGACTCAGGGTAGCATACAAGCAGCAGTACTTAATTGCTTCAATTTTACCTGTGTTCCGCAGGAATTTCATGTCCAGTTCTGTAAATATGAGACAGTAAAGCTGGTCTGCTGGCATAGGGACACCCACAAGTACACCGGAAAGTCTTGCCACAGTCCTCTATATGCCGCTTCAAATACCATTCCGTACCATAGGAGTTACTACATTTGTCACATTTGTGCTTCTTTTCAGCGTGCATCTTCATAAAGTGCTACAATACACAATGAAAAGTAAACATTAGCCTTCAGCTAAGTCACTTTTAGGGAAACAATATTTGTATATTTTTCTTCAGTTGTTAAACAGCACTGAGAAGCAGGATTAAAGTCTTTTGAAATGTCTCAGTAGTAAAGGCTGCCCAAGATGGCAGGCAAGAAGTGGAATATAACAACTAATGAGACTTTATTTGCACATACTTTGTGTGTACACAAAGTTCATGCTATGTTCAGCTCTCCAAGCTACGAGAATGAAGTACTGGGAGGCTCCTGATCATGTTAGCTCTGTATCAGCAGCTTCCACCACTTCAAAATGCAGTACCAATTTATGTGTCCTGATAAAATATGAATTTTCTTATTGTTCTTGTCTTACTGGCTAGAGGTTAATCTTGCCAAAGAGTCTATGCTGCAACATGTAGATCCTCTTGACAATCTACTACTGAGCAAACAGTATCAAGTCAAACAGGACAACTGCAGAGCACCAGAAGAACTGTTGCTTCTCATCTATGGCATTTATGCAGCATTCATCTCCTATGGTCCAGGCTTCCACAGCTGACCAACAGAAGTATGTTTTTTGATTTTTCACAAAGAAATACATTTTACGTGTTTTCTTAATCAGATGTCTTGTAAGCAAATGTATTTTGATAGTAAAACAAAAAAAATGTTAAACCTTGACCACTGGAAAAAGCATTTTAAAAGCCTCTGCTGCATTTCGAACTTTCATTGTTTGCTGCTGATTTTTTCCCCTCTCTGATCTTTGTCAGCCTTACTAATTTGCGGAGAGCAGCTGTCAATTTTAGCAGAACATACCACCATCTGCCTCATCAAAAGCTTCAAGTCCTCTGATGCAAATTCACCAACCATATGCCCACATGGAGCTTCTGCACATGTAACTCCAAGCCCTGTATACATGCTGAGGACTTGCTCCTATCTGAATGAGAAAGCACACACTCTAGAGTATCACAGAATCACAGAATCACCCGGGTTGGAAGGGACCCCAAGGATCATGTAGTTCCAACCCCCCTGCCTAGCAGGGCCACCAAACATACACATAGTATGTAGAGTAAAGATGGCCTGGAACAAACTGGTATGATATTGATCTGTAGGAAAAAGGAATACCTGTTTTACAAGAGAAAATTGGGAAAATGGTCTGTTTGGTCCTCTGGGGCAGCCTTCAATAGGACAGCAGTAGAATTTCTGTGGAGTTTTCAAACCCTTCCTTATCGGTGCATTAAACTTTCCATCCTAAAAAACAATAAATTGAGAAGCTGACAACAGTTCTACAGGTTTGTAATTAAAGGCAGCATTCAGAATACACCTCAACTTTGGCTCAATTATTTTACACACCTCAACGAGTTGAAAGCACTTCACCAAGCATATGGGAAGTTCTAATGGAATTTTCCACCTCTATGGATACTATCTTGCAAATTCATCAAAATTACTGAGTGAAATCATAACAAGCTCCATGAAGTACTGGTACTGTACTACCTACCTCCTCCAAGATATTTGCTCAAGGCTGCAAGATACACCCATCTATTATATTATTTGAGCCAGGAAATGAAGTTATAAACCAAAATTCGTCCAGCCTACAAAACTGACAGCTGGTATGTCAGTTCTGGAACTCCAAACATGAATTTACCTGTGCATTCCAATAGTACGATACATATAAAAACACAATAAAAATATACCACGAACCTCACAAGAATTATCACACACACACAACGAAAGAAAGAAACATTAAGTGGCTCAAAGACAACCACAGAAATACCTATAAAAGGGACACACTGACGGGAACATCCAAATTATTCAACAACAGAGAACCTATTGCTACTGAAAACACAGCCACAGAAACCAGTCAAGACACATGTATAACCTAACCAAAGGAGTCTTTGTGGAAATACCAAACGACTGTATTACCAAAAAGTTAAAAGCAAATTACGAGCAAAAGCTGATGCTCTGGTTACCTGGGAGTCTCCTTACACCATGAGCAGGAGGCCGACCCAGAGCCAATTACAGCAGCCTGCAGTGGTTTCTCCAGGTTCTTTGCTCAGACAGGAATTACCAGCACAGACCTTGTTTGAGATCTGTACCTGATTTTCCTCAGTATGATAAGAGTAGAAGGAAGCAGAAGTGGTGAGATGTGGAAGCCATGGCAGTGACTGACTCCCCAGCTGCTTTCTTTGGGCAGAACTCCAGCCTGTCATGTTTGCACAGGTCAGACCATATGCAGGACTCACAAAGTGCAATAGGCTCAGGTGAAGTAAACAGCTGTCATTTCTCACACTAAATCCCCACTACCAGAATAATTCTGTCAAGGGGGAGTTTTCTTGTAACGCTGTAGCACTTCAAGCAACTTCCTGGTTGTGCATCAGCCTTTCCCATGGACAAGCTATTCAATAGCAGACCTGTTTTATCTCTGCTGAATAACCACTGTGAAATCTGGTTGTTACAGCCCGTTTGCCTGCCATTACACTCTTTAACTCCAAATTTTTCCAGAAACAATTTCACTAGATGCAAGTCTTCAAGCCTTTGGGAGGAATAACATTTATCCCTTTAATCAAAGCTGTATTTGTTCTCTCCAAGTGCAGATGAAATCGGCAGGCTTAGTAAGCAGCAGTTTGAGTTATTTATTCAAAGCATGCTACATTTAACATTGCAATCCAATAAATGACAGGGAAATATGTTCAGGCACTCAGCAGGTATACCACAGCCAGATTTTAGAAATGACTTCAGCACTAAGATGTGGAATAATGCCAAGTGTTATCAAAACACATAAACATAAGTAAGACGACGCAACAGCTGGAACACAGATTTTCCAGGTGCAGATCACAACAGATCTGTTGTGACAAGTTGAGAGATTCCGTATGCATACCAGTAGCCCCAACCAGACACTATCCTTGTTTTGACTTTCTTCAAAGCCCTCCTGGCTCTACATGGTTAATCGCACACATTTCAGGCATTCTCACAAGTCCTTTCTTTGTACAACTGATTTTATTCCCCGCATTTCTGCAATGCCTACTGACAGCTTTAGTGGAGGCATTTGTTGCACTAACACCTCACAGCACAGCCAGTTGCACTGCAAGGAACACTAACACTTGGGACTTGTACCAACAGCAAGGAGGAGCAGGCAGCAGCAGTCTGTGCTACAGATTTAGCCAAGGTGAACTTTGTGACGTCTGGCTTCCCTGAAGCAGGTTTATTCTGTCTGCTGGATTAACCTAAAACGGCACCTTACAGTAGACTACAGGCAAGCATTCACAACATTCCTGAAAGTAGGAGATGATAGCACTGAGAAATAAGCCCACTTTGCTTTAGCATAAGAACTATATAAGAACTAAGTGTAACATTTGCATTGGGTCACCTACCCGGAGGGCAAGCTGCACACTGCAGTGCAGCACTGATGGCAGTCTCCTTGTTATCACAGGAATCCACTGAATCCTCTCCTTCACATTAATTCCTCTAGATTCATTTTTAAACTACATAGAAGTCTTCCTCTTCTCCCCATAAAATAACACAGACAAAAGACAGAAGCATTCAAAAGTTTCTAAGCCTAATATATTAAGTGCCAGTTTCTAAATTAAATGTCACTGTTCTCATGTTTTCATTGGCTCAGTTAAGCCAAGAAGCCAGAAAACAAACAGCTAGAAATTAACATTTCACCATTTCTTCTCTGGTAGGCCAAACAAGCCCATTTTTTTTTAATTTCCCTTCATCAGACACACCTGCCATTTAAAGTTGTCGAAGATTCCACGCATCTTTGGTGTTTCACCTTATTTGAATCAGATTCTTACCCTGCCACAGAAAGCCAATATCTTTCTGCAATATTCCATGCCTGTCCTTCCCACAACAGCACTACTCTATCAGTTACATCTGCGAACAAACAAGTTTCACAAGTGTTTCCCATCTCAACTACTTCTGTTACAAACCAAGACTGATCAATTTTCTGTTACAGGTTCACAAAAGAATAATAACACTACTGCATGTAACTCTGTTTTTACAGGCTCATCTTGCTTTCTACATAAATACCTTCCACAGTGACAACGCCTCATTGTTTTTGTCATCAAAAGATCCTGCTGTACTACTTTTATTAATGCAAATTAACCATGCCAGCCTCCCTTCTTTTCAGAATTACTACATTCCCCAGTACCTCCTTACTCTCTCATTTGCTAAGCTTTCAACTTTACTTTCAATAATTCTTCATGTTTTGCTGACAAATGCAGTCTACTAAACTATTTTTCTGCCCAAGGAGGCTGTGGATGCCCCACCCCTGGAGGCATTCAAGGCCAGGCTGAATGTGGCTCTGGGCAGCCTGGTCTGGTGGTTGGTGACTCTGCACATAGCAGGGGGTTGACACTAAATGATCACTGTGGTCCTTTTCCACTGAGGTTGATTCTATGATTTTTGTCTTGGGAATCAAATCTCTCTTAAAGGGAAAAATTCCTGTATTAGTTTAACTCCATCCCCCTCTGGAGACACAGAGTAACAAACTTATATTTTACTTTAGTACTCTTATTCTCCCTTTCAAGATGCAGACTGAAGACACGCATAACACTGAATATGTTTTACCTGAAAGACAACATGGAAAATTTGATCTCCCTTAAGCCGTGGTAATATTCTCTCTCAATGACAACACTGGAATAAGCCAGATGTTTCTGGGAAGCTGTATGCAACCTCAAACTGTATGTTTCAGTACCTCCCCAAGCTAGATTTAACAGAAAGGCACATGAAACACATTACAGTTACACAGGGCACTAAGAAGCCAGCTCAGACAGAAGCACTTCCTCACTCACCTTAACTCTGAAACACACTGCTGCTGCCCTCACAGCATCAGGGGGCTGCTGCAAACACTCAGACCCAGTTCAAAACTGTCTGCTGAGCCTGAAGGCCCACTTTAAACTTCTCTTGTACCTCTACCCATAAATACATGTATGCAAGGCATAATACATATCAAGACAAAAGTTGGTGCGTATTGCATTTCTATTCAGTTTTTTTTACTTTTCACTGTTTTCAGATAGGACTTGTAATGCTGAGATTCACAGCAAGTATCCTCGAGATCATTTCCTCCTCCTCACAAATGATGGGCTGAAACGCGCTGTCTATTCCTTCCTTTGCTATTTCTGTAAACAACAGTTAATTGTTCACCCTCTGTAGCTGCTTCTTCCCAATGCAGCCAGGAATGCCGTGCTCATAGTTCTCCAGGAGTGGCATTCACCCCCACACCCCCTGCACGGGGACTCGGAGAAAAATAAGCGCAACTTGCTGTCAGGCCACCCTCAGTCACCCACCCTCCTCCCCACACTCGCTGCATTTTCTCCGTAGTGCCGTGGCAATGAGTGCCTCTCTCCAAAATGGCACCCACAGCTTCTCGTGTTGTCGCTCACCGGTATTACCGACAAGTAAAGCAGACGGATGACCCAGCAGAGGCAGGGCACGGCCTGCACACTCTGCCAGCCGCTGCCCATGCTGCGGGTGCACCTCCCAAGCCATGGAAAAACAACCGATACCCCGAAGGGAATAACAGAAACCGAGTCCCGAACTTTGAACTGCCAGCACAGCGGCACGTAACGGGTAACACCCCGCACACTGCTGCGGTGCAATCCTCCACAGTCCGCCCGACCTGCGCGCACACCGATGCATTTACACATGAACCCGGGCACGCTTCTTCGGGGGGATCTACCGAGACGCCCCGCGATACCCGCTCCCCCAGCAGCCCCGCGGGTACCGGCGGCCATCACCGGAGCCGGGCGGTACCTGGAGCCGGTGGGCCTTGCTGAGGTGCATGTTGAGAGCCGGGCTGTTGGGCAGCACCTTGCCGCAGCCGGGCACGGTGCACAGGATGTTGGTCCTCACTTGGGACAGCTCCGTCACCGAGGGCCGCACCAGCTCGCGGGCGGGCGGCGGGTCCCCCGCGGTTGGCTGCCCCACGGCCCCGCCGCGCCGCCCCGCCGCCGCCATGTTGCTGTCAGGTGCTCGCGCCCCGCTTCCGGGGGCGGGAAAGAGGGGCGGGGAACGGCCGGTTGGTCACGGAGCGCCCGCGGCGCAGCTCGAGTTACGCGTCAGCGGTGTGAGGAGGGCGCTTACGGCCGCGTCCTGGTGATCACCGCCGAGCCTGTTTTCCCTCTAATGCCCGTATTTAACTGTGATGCAGAATTTTGAAGCTTTACAATAAATCCCTCCCTCGATTTGGGAGAGCACGTCAGGAAAAGCGCAGCACAGACTGAAATGCCTACTAGAAGTTTGGTGGCACCGATTCCTAGGGTGCAGTGTGAGGAACAAATGGCCAATCCTTCACGTGTACAGACTGCAGCATCTGCACCAAACCTGGGCTTGTTTCAGACCCCCAGTTCAGCGCTTGGCAACACTGACACTGAAGTCGCAGGTGGAAGGACTGAAAAAAAAAATCTGTCATTAAGCAGATAGTCACAGAATCACAGGATTGGAAGGGACCTCAAGGATCATGAATCTCCAACCCCCTGCCACATGCAGGACCACCAACCTCCCCATTTAATACCAGACCAGGCTGCCCAGGGCCCCATCCAACCTGGCCTGCACACCTCCAGGGATGGGGCATCCACAACCTCTCTGGGCAGCTCTTCCAGCACCTCACCGCTCTCTCTGTAAAGAATTTCCCCTGCCAGTCCTCGAGTAACTTCTTATGAACCTCTTATGAACTTCTTATGAAGGTAGAGAGAGATGCTGAAAAAAATAAATCTATACACTAAGTCATGCTTCAGAAAATAAGGCCAAACAAACTTCTATAAGAGGTCTTAATTTACACATTTATTTACAGTTTGAAAACAAAATTAATTCCCATACAACCTCTCCAAACAGTTATACTTTGTCATGAAGCTTTTTCAAAGGACTGCCTACCAACATATCATACAGAAGGCACACACACAATATGCGTCCAGGTAGCAGAATTAAGAAACAAGCATTTGCTTGACACTTCAGTGCAAATTAATCTCTTAAAATAATAATACAGCCAGTTACATAGAAATATTTACATAATTACCAATTACTATTTACCAACCCTAGAGAACACCACTGCAAATCTGCTGTTTGCACAAGTGGATGCTGATATCTTGCTTCTGCAATCTTTGTGTCCCTAAGCTTAAGAAACAATAATGTACAAAGACTGCAGAGACCACATGTTGAATGAAACAGACATTCTAAAACATAGACTACCTCCAAAGAAAACCATTGCCAGTGTCACTGTGTTCCTGTCAGCTGGTATTTTATAGGATACTAATATCAGGAGATAGAATTTTAAAAGTTTAAAATATTTATTATTGGCTGTCACAATTGTTGAGTGAACTCTGGAGCTGAATAGCCGGTAATGCTGCATGGAAGTTTCTTACTGATGCCTCTCAGAGTCTCTTCTCCCCTACACCCTGCAACAGTCTTTGAATGTAATCTGCATCTACAAAGACAAAAACACACCCGACCTGAAGCAGAGTGGTAGTTCCACCTATTTGAATGGGGCTATTCACGCGCTCAGAATGGGCATGTGTTGTGTTTCACTGCTGTCCTGCAGCTGAAATAAGGACACCTACGGTTATGACAGTAAACTGAACAGATGTCTCACCTGTCTGCACCAGGCTTTAGCATCTAACAGCAAATACAGATAAAAGTGGTCATCACATTTAAACTTTAAATAATCATGATTTCTGTTTAAAATTCACTAACAGTGTCCTGTTAGTTTACGAGGGCTAACCTGAAGCCAGAAATAAAAAAGGGTTTATCAGAGAATAAGGCTGTTTTTAAAATCTGTTTTAAAGGTGACTGGATTAATAGCAGTAATAAATGAATCACACATTTTGATATAAAAACATTTCTATTTAAATTAAGGGCTTACAAAGCTTCCTGGATGTAAAGACTTCTTCTCTCTAATTTTAAAGTAATTTCTAGCTTTTTGTGGAATGCATGTAAGTAGTGGTGAAAGTGGTGCATCAGCCAAACCTGTAGAGACAAACAGGTAATTACAGCTTAACTCAGGCAGTATTCACCTTTCACAACTGTCACAAAATTGAAAACAGAGTTTGAATACCTACTATTGAAAATTAACAGATATATATTTACACATTAAATTGTACAGGTAACAATTTCATTCTATTTATTTCTTTATATTTCCCAACTGTGCAGGTTCTTCTATGCAATCTACAAGCAGAATGTAAAATGATTAAAATGTTTAACTGTGGATTTTTCCTCTCTTTTACAGAGTTGCACTACTTACCTGCTGGCGCCAAGGATTTCAGTGATTCTAAAAGATGTGGACTAGAAAACTTGACCAAACATCGGAATGGCTCTTTTTTCTCCAAAACATCCCATTTAGGATTACTTTTAAACATCGTCTCAAGCTGTTAAGATAAAATTATCAAGCATTATGAACAATGCATGTATTTTATGTACTTATTATTCACATTAATATTTATAACCATAGAATCATTAGGTTGGAAAAGAAATTGCATTTTCTCTGACATGATACACCCTAGAAGAACTGTGCAGCCATATGCCAAATAGCCTGTAGAACAATGAGAACAGTTACAGTTGTAATGTTTCGGTTTGGTTGTAATAGCTGCATTTAATCTTCAAAGCGAGTTGTTGTCCTCAGCTTTACTTCTCTCTAAGTAGACATCCACCTGAAAATTATTCTGGAAAACTCGTATATAAGTATATGGTGAATTTTAAAAACACATTTTCTAACACTGGGAGTGGAGAAATTTCAGCTACAATGGCTGAAATCTTTGAATTTAGATACTTCATTTCAGAATTACAGCCTAGACCCAGAACTGCAGCTTCTTCCTCTACACTGGCATATATGGACATTTACACATACACATATGCATACACATATATGGATATTATTTCACTTAAGATAATCTCCCAATGACTAACTTACGTTCAAGCTAAAAATGTTCTAACTGATAACAGTTGAAAATGGAACTGGCTATTGTTCTGAATGCTAGAATATTTTCAAACAAGCATGATTTAACTTGAGTTCCTTCTTCAAACTGAGTATTGTACTAAAGTCATTGTAGCCAATCTGATAATAAAAATGTATTTTACAAGTTCCAGCACAATATATGTTTATGGGTCTACTGTTATCTCTGAAATGATCAGTTAGGTCTGAACAGGCAAACTATAAGGTAGGAGAAGAATAACTTTTTTATTCCTTAATATTAGCATGATTCTAGTTGGAGGAATCGTTCGTTAATAAAATCAGAGGGTGCCACCATGTGGTAAACAGTTCTCTGTTGGAAGAGGCAGCCAGGTCAATTACACAGTAGATCATTGCTATCTCACAGAATTCCCAACACATCTGCTCATTAGAAAAAAAATAATGGTGTATCATTAAAATCTTGTGCTATATGTGACATAATCTTCAAATGTACTTCAAGCAATCCTAATTTCTTATGCCTCAAAGCAATGCTGTTTTATGTCTAGCTTTGTTACAAAACTAAGTCCATGCGCTGAGCTCATAAGGGCAAAGGACTGAAATAAGATCTGGTATCTGACCAGATCTCAACGCAAACAGGCTTCTTAAAACGAGTCTGACATTTAAAACGTCCTCTCTAAAGTTTGAAACAATACCATCTTCTTATTTTCAAGTTTATGTAGCTGTAGCTCTATTAAAATTATAGAAAAACAAAACAAAATTTGTTGCTTTCACTACCTTATATTGTGCAAAGTCAAGTTTGGGTTGGGGACCATCACCAAAACATTCCTGATTCAGTCTGTGTATTCTTTCTTTGTCGCTTCTGTTTTCATCATTTATCCTTAAATCCACTGCAGGGTAGGGAGAAAAAAAAAAGAGGGAAAAAAAAAAAGACAACTCTCAGCGAGTACAAATATTGCATTTGTTGATCAGATGAATGCCCAAAAATAATTCGGAAATAATAATTTCAAAGTTTCATCACTATCTGTGTTTGATAAGTTAACTGGGTGCATGACATATATTTTCAGTTCTTACCAAGAGAGAAAACAAGCTAGAATGATAGGAGACACTGATCGCTACTTATTTTTCGTTTCACAAGTGCATTGAACATCATGAGGAAGTGCTCATATCTCCTAGTGACATCAATATTATCCATGGGTGGATAATATGTCAATATAACACATGCATTTCTTATTATGAATCTCATTTCATAAGGCAGAAATATACAGATACACATTTTTAAGCACAAATCTTCCAAGTAAGGACATTCACACTTGTATTTAATTTAAAAATACACATACCATTTTCTGTGAGTACATTCCTTTCCTGTAGTGGATAGTTGGTTTGGAAGTTCTAAACGAGGAAAAAATAAAAAGGAAAAAAAAACAGTTCTGCTTTTAGAGGCTTTAGCTGAAAACAGTTTTCTATATTTCTTTTCACTTTGTGTTCTGAAAGTGACTGGTCACACTTCTGATAACTACTAGACTACAAAACCCAGCTTTATTCTGAAAAAACACCCCCCATCTTATGATACAGCCTGTGGATGAACAGAGTTAAGTATCCATTCTAATACCTCCCCAAATATTACTCTAAGAAACAGTGCCAAGAAGTCCCAGGAGTGAATTGGAGAGCTGCATAGACTGAGTTTAAACTTCCAGGAATAGTAATAGACACTAGGTGGCATATCAAGTAATTACATTACTACTGTAACGTTACCTTAAGCAAATCTATCCAACTCAGTGGTTCCATACCACTGTAACTTGATAATCTCTGAAAGAGGTGAATTTCCTATTGCTAGGGGGTGAGAACTAGGCCTGAAATAGAAGCAAGACACATCTTCAGATGCACTTGTGAAGTGGCTCACCTGGCTGTACCTCTTAAACACAATATCTTTAAGGGAGTTTAAACAATGACTTCGAAGCTCCATTTCACGGATGTCATGGTAATTGGAAGCAACAATCATTGCCTTGAAATACAAATTGAAATTGTTTTAGTATGAGTGTTAATAATCACCATGGGTACAATAGAAAAACATGTAGTACTTCTAGACTTTGAGATGTTTTGCTTCACAAGAAGCAACAGCTATTTAACTAGCAGGGTTTTCATGGTACCGCCCACAGTCTGCAACATGAACACTAAACCATGTCCCTCATCACAACGTCCAAACGTTCCCTGAACACCTCCAGGGTCGGTGACTCCACCACCTCCTGTGCAGCCCAGTCCAGTGCCTGACCACTCTTTGCAGAGAAATAGTTAACAGTGTCTTAATGTTCTTCAACTTCTATTCAGTTGAAACAATTTAGTTGATATTGCCTAACATTTGCGTGAGGAATTAGAATAATTTGAGATCAGCAAAAATCCTAATAAAATGAATTTATTTGTGATGTGACATTCTGAAGGTCACAAAGATTGGGTTTTGCACCCCCGGCTTTTTAATTTTAAATAAAAAATAAGCAAGGTCTAAGGGGAAAAAAAATCTAAGCTAAATTAGAAAACTGCATTAAGAGACTCATCTTTACATCTCCTCTTCAAAGCTAAGAGAATTAAAAACCCAAAAGACTGTGGTGGAGTCACGGTCCATGCAGTTTAGTTTTCTACCTGACACAGCAGAGGTAAGTTGCTCCTAAGGGTGGAGGCAGAGATGAAGACATAAGGAGTCTGGGAGTGGTATACAACATAACTGGTTTTGTACTGGTTTGGCTTTGTATAAGGTGTTCCCCAGGCAATTCTAATCCAGATTGCATTATCCTCGTATTCCCTAAAACTGATGGTGACCTGAATAGAAAAAGGAAAGCTTTGCTTTAAACACACATTCACACGTCTGGAAAAATTAATACATGCCATAAGCCTCTGTTCACAAATGCAATACTGCTTGCATAAGTACCAAATCCCATTAGTATTATCAATAAGGTAAGGATTATCAATCAAATTTCCACAGGAAAATGAAAACCTCACAAAATGAAGGTTCTGGGCTCTAATATGACTTTCATTTTACCCTTCCAAAGGGCACAAACTTCAATTTTTATTTTTTCTATTTTTCACACAGTTCTTACCATTCCCAAGTTAAATCTATTTTGGTTTTGATGCAGATTGTAAGAAAAAAAACACCTTGCCAAATATATGGAAAATCTATTGATACCCAAACCCAACACATCCAGACATTCTTACATTTATCAAAGCTGACTGAATTTGTCTTCTAAATTTTTTTTTGAAATCTCTGAAGTCAAAGAAGTCTGTTTCTTCCTCTGTTAAACAAGAAAATGAAGAATTTAATGAATTCAATCCCCAAGAACTGGTTCAGCGATGGCTTTAGTTTCACTGAAACAATATTAAGAAGAAAAAAGCTGACACTGCATAGCATTTTTAGGAAAGTTGGATATTAAATTTGAGTCTCATTATTGCTATGCATATATTTATATGGAAAAGACGATTAGAAATTATTAGTTTCTAATAATTGCCAGAAGAGTTAATCTAAAGTACTCAAAAAACTAATTAAAGATTAATCCATACTTAGTAAATTGCTGAGAGTTATACTAGAGAGACTGCAGCAAGGAAAGGAACTTTACCTGTTTTGTTCATATGGTAGACACTCCACGCTCTTTTGTTTGGATAGATGTGGTTGTCTAGGGAAAACAGGAATTGCTCAGAAACAATTGAATATTATCAAAAGGTAATTAAAAAATCATTTTACGCTACTTTTATAACCAAGTTGTTTAAAGGAGATTACTTCTGACAATGTGATGTAATTTATTCAGCAAACCTAAAAGCAAAACGGTTTTTATTAGAAGATATAGTTGCTTAATTAAATTACAAAAGATCTTCATAACAAAGGATATCTCTGAGGTTCAGTGTTTAAAGAAACACTTTAGCTAAAACAACTGTCAGTCTAAATTCAAGCAGAGAGGTGTAATAATCATGTTGTGAATTAATATCAGAGCTAAATTTCCACCTGGAGTATTTGCAGGCAGCTTTTCCCTATGGCACTTCTCACTGCAGCAAGATGTCAGGGCTCAGTGTGTACTGGAGATGAACATCTCTCTCTACATTTATTACTGTACTCTGGATGTGACTTACAGAAGGTGACAGCTATTTAGAATTCTAAAGAAACAAACAAGCTCATGTTGATGAAGAGGTTTTGGAAAGAAAAAGAATTAGTCAGATCCAATAGGATTAATGTCATCTTTGTACATTAAGTGCATCCCTGCATCACTATGGTGCCTGCCAGATAATTAAAGGAGTTACCAAGTTACTCAGAAAAACAAAACAAAACAAAACACTTAGATGTTATTTTCATTCATTTTTACTTACAGATGATGTCTAGGAGGGCTGCTTGCTTTATGTTTGCAGAACTTTCCTGGAAGGAAAAATGACAGTGCATTGTGAGGCTCTATCACACACAGAACACAATCATTGCATATCCCAAGCTGGAAAAGGACCCATAAGGATCATCGAGTCCAACTCCTGGCTCCACACAAGACCACCCAAAAATGAGACCATATGTCCAAGAGCAATGTCCAGATGCTTCTTGAACTCTGACGGCTTGGCACTATGCCCACTGCTGAGGCTGCTCCAGTGCCTGAGCACTCACACACCATTCAGCAAATGAGAGATCCCAGGACCGGCAGCTTCAATCACTAGGCACTGAAGTCCAACACACGGGTCACCAAGAGGCAGGTCCTGAGGAAAGGATTACCTCGCAGAGCTGGGCGACGCTGTGAGAGATGCTCTCTTTGGTCTGACGGAAGTTGATGGTTTGTAGCTGCGCCTCTGAGAGAAAGCCCCACTTCTGCAGCACTGCCATGATTTCATCGCGGGGGATTTTTAGCACAGTCCTTCGGATATACTCGACAATGACCTCATCCATAGTGAGGACACCTGGAAAGTTGAGATATCAAAGAAGTCGGACCAGCACATAAGCCAGCTGGAGGTGTTCAAGGCCAGATTGGATGGGGCACTGGGCAGCCCATCTAGCCCTGGCCTAGTATTAAATGGGGAGGTTGGTGTCCCTGCACGTGGCAGGGAGTTGGAGATGCGTGATCCTTGAGGCCCCTTCCAACCCTGGCCATGCTGTGATTCTGTGAACTGCTCCCTACATAGTAGAAAAGTGCAGAAAGCCGCCCCAGGGACAGCCGGCAGAACGCGGCATCATTCCCTAGCGTGGCATTAGCGGAGGTTCCACCACTGACAGCACCTTACAGTGCTTCCTGCAGTAACAGCCCCCGCCCCAGCTCCTGAAGGCAGCCGAGACCGTGACCGACCGAGGGGCTGAGAGCAACAGCGCCGAGCGTTCCTCAAGAAATAAGGCCAACCTAACACCCCGCAGCCCTCGTCCCACACACCAGAAAGTCATCTCGCCCACATCCCCGCGTTCACAGCACAGAGCCCCACTCACCGCCGCACCTCAGGCGGTGCCACCGCTGCCACCGTAACACCAACCCGGCAACGCGCCGCGCCAACCGCCTCCCGTCTTTCGAAGCACCCAATCAGACGCCGCAAGTTGCCCCGGTGCAAGAGACGTCCAATCACAAGAGGCCCCGCCCCTCTTCCCCGCCCCTTCTATCTGAGAAGACTTCCGGCTGGGTATGCCCGGGCACTTCCGGTGTCCCGGCGCTGTGGCTTGGGGCAGCTCTGCTCGGCCCCGACTGGCTGGGTCCGTCCTTTTTGGAACAGAAGTAAGCTGTGAATAAAAGCTGCTCTTGCGAGAAGAGCACCCTTATGCGGCTGGAGCTGCTCTACAGCGGTAGCGCTGCAGTTAGTCTGCAAAGGGAATGGATCTGTGGCTCTCAGCTCGGTCTCTTTCTATAAGGGCGTTTTGATGTGTTTTGTGAAGAAGTGCAGGGTCTTTTTATGTGGGAGAGCTCGGATGGTTGGGGTCAGGTGTGGTGAATGTGCTGAAATGCCTTTTATACGAGCAACTTTTGAAATGGAAAATATTTGAGCAACTTGGCTTAAAAAAGCCTTGAAATGCATTCTACTGAAATACGGAAAAAATCATTGAGGAAAGCTGTTGCCTCGGTTTAAACGTTTATTTCAGTTTTTTCCCCCATATGGAAATATTAAGTGTTAAGCTAATTGGTGAGCCTGAAAAATCAACCAAGCTTATTTCTCCATCTGTGTCAGGGAACTGATTGGTTCTTATTCATGGGAGATTCTGTGAAAAGAAGAAAGAAACTTCCCTGTATTCCTGGTGTGCTGGTCCTATGCTTCATTTGGGAAAGAAGTGGGGATGTATGAAACCCCTTTGTTCTCCGTGTTCTCACCTGCCACAAGGAGGTCAGGTGGAGAAGCTGGCAGATAGAAAAGAGCAGCTGTCCTAACAGACATGTGAATGAAGGGCTTGCCCTGCTCTTTTTGGACAGCCTTTTGGTTTCTGTCTACTGCTTCAGTACCTGTGGTTATCTTGTGAATTCCATAGTGCTGATAGTTTCCTTTTGCACATTAATATTTGGTATTTCATATTGATATTTTATGTATTGACCAAGTGTGTAAGTAGTTTGCTAGGTTAGAGACAGCTGTTCATACTTGTGTTTAAAAGGTAGTTGAAAAGAGTGACGATCTTTCTCCATGTCTTCAGCCTTCAGAGGCTAATAGAAATTTGCAGTTTGTTCTTATAGCATTTCACCTAAATCATTTAGCTATATGTATGCTGTAGTCTTTAACAAGGCAGGGAGAGTTGTGCAAGCTGCAGTATCTCCTATAAAATACATGAAAGGGCTGAATGCTCTTGCACAATTCAGTGGTATGTTTGTGCAAGAAGTTCATCTTTTCCAAATATTTGCCAATTATTAATGTTGGCTTAGCATTCCACAGTCCATTTTTGTCTTTAAATAATTCCAGTGTTTTCCTAATGTTCTACTGTACTGCTATTATTTCTTCTACCCAGGTTTCATGTTTAACTTGGTGTTCTTTATCCAGCAGTTCTGTTCATATTTCTTCAGGGCAGGGCAGTTTATATTGCTTTTTCTCCTCCTCCCCCCCTCCCCCCCCCCCTTTTTTTTTTTTAATAAATATTTTTTTCATGCATAGAGTCCTTATGAGCTATTACATAAAATTCTGCCCATGTTAACTTAAATTCTAGCAAGATGGTGACTTGTTATCTTTATTTTAAGTTAAAGCACTACTAAAAAGAAACTGAGGAAACCAATAGCCCATTCTGTCCTTTTTCATGCATACTTTTGTTATTCTTTGAAACCTTTTCATCTACCCATCAGCTCCCTCTGGCAAAATGATTTTAACCTTCTCTGATCATTTGTAGATGACAGACTCATCCAAACACAAATGGGGATTTAGCACTGATAACACCATTCTGTCATGAACTTCAGAAGTATCTAAAGGCTCCAGTTGGGCCTCAGTTTGCTACTTTGTAGTAAAACGTTTTCTTTTTTTTAATGTTTGCTAATTCATTGTAGACTATGTGAAGTGAGTACCTTCTTAGGCAACTGAGCTTGCAAGATTTTAATGTGCTTGTTTTATGAAAATTAATTCAGGTGGTCGTAGAGCTGGTCACTCTGTCCAGGGAATGCTGACTCTAGTGTGGTTTCCAACTTCTGTGTGAAGAGTACACACAATGTAACGTACTTCCAGCTACCGTGGGGGAGGTTCTTGAAAGAAATGACTGGATGTGTTTGCAATGTCATGCAGAATGCACCCTCATGGGTCTCCGAGAGCTTGTGAATTTGTTTAGAATTCTAAAATTTTATTTGCTTGTGGGAATGTAGTTCTTGTTAAGCAGAATATGTGATTATGAAATACAGGGTAAATGAGCTTAGATAGCTCTTCAGGCCAAATATATTACTTGAGTATTGTAGGAATAGTAGAGTAGGTGAGAGCTGCCAGTGCTGCAAGAGAATATTGGGAGTTTGCAGTTGCTGACCACTGCCAGCCAGAATTTAGATGGCTGAGCTGTGGAGTGTTGAAACAACGATGGCTACTGAGCACAGATTTTTGCCTGATGTACTGCAGGTAGGAACCTGCTCTCTTTTGGAGGAAGGGCAATGATAAAATACCAGGTAAACGAGCTGAAGGACATCTACTGAACTTGTTGACAGCATGGTTAATACAAGGAGAATTTAGTCGAGATGAGCCCATTTGTCCTAGTATGAACTGGACTTTTCTTCTTCCCTCTCTGGTGCAATAATCTTCCACAACAATCAAGTCATATTATTTCAGCCATTGTTACATGGCAGTTTCATCCTTTTCGAAAGAGATGTGGAAAAAGGCTTCTGGGAATGTTTTCTTTTTTTAAGTGAGACGTTACATAAAAAAAATGTTTCTAGAATGAAATTTGCTCGTGCCCCATAGAGCTGTACAGGGGAGCACCTGGGGGTCCTGGTTGACATGCAGTTAAACATGATTTAGCAGTGCACCCTTGTGGCAATAAAGGCTAGCAGCATACTGAGTTGTATTAAAGAAGTGTAGGTAAGTGGTTACTGTTCCACTCTCCTTGGCACTCTTGAGGACACAGATGGTTTGTAAAGCATCATCAAAGCTTTGGATGGAGATTTTTCAAAAAGCACACAGATAACTAAAAAGATGCCAGTCCTCAGAGTGTTGTAATGAAATATCAGGGTGCTTCCTGTTCCTACCCACCTGTTTGCAGAGAGTAGAAAGAAGAAAAATACATATAGTAGAATAAATACATGTATATCATAGCTATCCTATATCGATTGGAACTAGATGTTCTTAAAGGTCCCTTCTAACCCAAACAATTCTGTATGTGCTGTAATATATAATGCATGTACTAGAATGAAGAAAACTGAAATAGGAGGATGAAAAGATAATCTGCAGTTCAAGAAAGGTTAATTCTCCTATTGTCCCTTAAAAGGAAAATCTCAAAAGCATCCTTAATGTCCATAATCACAAATAATTTAAACTCATAGTTAGTATTTGAGCTCTACAGATAAGGAAGAGGCACATACTGGTTCAATTACCTTAAGTGCATATTATAAATTATACGTATTGTTGCATTTTGATTCAAAATACTGTTATTATAACACTGACACTATATGATAATTTCTTAAGTGATCAACTTGAACTTTTATTTATACATTCATATTTTAATGTTGGCAGGTGGAAATTTTCTCAGATTCTTTCACTGCTAAAATCATCACTACGTAAGATGCATCCAGACCTGTCTCCTCACCTGCACACTGAAGAATGTAACCTCATTATCAGTCTGCTCAAGAAGTGTCACAAGGAGGTAAGGAGTTCTGAGCAGAGGAAAGAGTGGGTGGGCTGGGGAAATGAGTGGTGAGATTATCATACAATCATGGAAAAATCTCCAGTAGGCAGAGCAGCCATGGAACAGAGCTAGTATGTTTACACTGGTAAAGGTATCTGACAACTGCATGTAGAACTTTGCCAGTGATTTCAGTAGGGAATAAAATACACCTTAAAACGTCTTGTGTTAGAGCTTTACAATGGTGGGCTGAGTTGAAAATTGAAATAATTTTTGCATGTTTTAGCCTGTGTGTTTGTTGCTCACAGAATGTTCACAGCACTACTGTACACCAGCTGCCTGCAGTGCAGATACACTATATGTATATATCTATATATGCAGGTATGCTGGTGTGCCTTACACTCCATGCTTGGAGAGCTAAATGTGAATTAACATTTGAATATTCCTAGTAGGCATGTACAAAGGGATGTAAAATACCTAATTATCTTCAGGGAACTCAAGGCTCTTCATTGCTGTGCTACAGAAACTTCATCTCATTCATTCAGAGGTTGTTTTTTAATTTGTTCTATAGTAAACTTCTGGACATAACTGAGTCAGCCCCTGAAATGTAAGTTATCTGCAGCACTGGTGCATTACTGTTAATTATTCTTCCAGTTCTCTCAGTTAATGTAAATAGATGTTCTGAACACACGTACTTTTGTATCAAGTTTAATTTTCTAGTTTGCTCGGGGACAAAAGTATATTTGAATGTTTAATAGAATTCAGTGGTTTATACCATCTCATGCAATCTGCAGTATTTTCACCTCCGTGTTCAGCTGTGGTTTATAATTTTTCATAACACAATTATCCATAAATTGGAAGACAAAACATATTTAGCCTTACTTTTTCTTAAGAATTCTGAATTTTTCTTTTCCAAAGCGCTTACAGAAATAAAAACAAGGCTGACAATATGTGAAATATGAGTGAAGATACTTAGTGTGAAAGAGACGTAACATTTTTTGAAGGTCTGGTTTTAAAGTAGCTAAACTAATGTTTAAAAAGCTTGTGTAGTACCTGATTTCTTATAAATTTAAAATGATAACAATGTAGGAAGCAGAGTTTATAACTAAATTTTAGTATTAACAAGTATACTGTACCAGGCTTGTTCAGTACATTTTCATCTGTTAGATTGTACTACAATGTTTTGAAACGTAAGCAAACTGGAATTGGTCAGCGGCATTCATGGCGTCTTTCATACGGTCGTCTCTGTTCCTATGCACTGTGTAGGTACCTTAAACCTAAGACGTGCAGTTCTTGTGAAGAACAGAACATCACCAAGCTGAACTGTAACTTATCTGACTACCTTGAGTTTAGTAGAGAACAAGAACTGAATGCTGTACTTGATTTCTACAGCAGCGATTCAAAGTAATCTGCTGCCTGTTTGACTTACAAAGATTTTGGGAGCAGCAGTAATACATTCATACACGGGGTTCTATTTTCTCATTCTGGTTTGCAGTTGGTCCCTTTATGTGAGGATGGACTAATTTTGTCAGTCTTAAGCTTATCTATGAGTGCATATTTGTGCTTCTCAGAACAGAGTGGAAACTTTCACGCTCGTTTAAAAGGATCAATAATTTTTGTTTAAAATTAAGGTAGATGTACTGAAATTGAAAAAAAAAATCTGAAGAGTTTGTGATCTTAATTATAGTATTTAGTGAGTATCTCCTGTTTTGTAAAAATACCGAAGAACCTTCATGTGTAATTTAAATTAATACTGAGGACAAAAAAGCCTTATCTTGAATTCCGTATCCTGTGTTTGTGTTTTCACAAAATTCAGTCCATTTCTGATCAAGATCCCACTGGTTACTTTAAGTCTTATATCTGGTGGAGAGTATCTATGGTTAATTCTTATTTGATGTCATTTTATTTTTTTTAACAACTCTGCTCTTGGGCCAAGCACATGCCTTATTTTTATAGACAGCTGCTGAAAGAAATGCATATTGTCTCACAGTCATATTGCTGTAATGGGAATAATAACTATTTTTGGAAGACAGATTCCTTTTTCCTCAATCTGAGCTATAAACAGTTGACAGTTTAGGAGTCTGGCTGAATAAATGTGGATTCAACTCACTGTATCAGTAAGAGTAGAGTTAGCTTGGAATGTGGAACGCTCACTTTGAAATCGGGCACGATGGTGTAAGAATAGAATAAAAAGTTAAATCTGCATAGCTAAAATAAAAACGTTTTAAAAGCAGATTCAGCTTTCAGTAAAGCAACCCTTTATCCCATGCAACTGCTTCAGTGTCATCTGATGCCCTTTATAAAGCAGAGAGATATAAACAAGTTAATTATAGCACTGCCATAGTTAAAGACTATGACAGACATTTATTAACGCACACTCCCAAGCTCAGCCATGTTCTGCTAGCTGACATCTACCTTGCCCACTACTTGAACTCTTACTAGTGTTCAGCTTGTCTCTGAATCCGTCTAGCTGCTCATCAACCGCGGAAATATGCATTGGTTTCCCTGATGCAAACTGGGTAACACTTAGCTATGCATCTAGTCTACAGCTGAGCTGTGTCACAAAGTGAATACATTCTTGAGGTTTGGAGAAACTTTACTCCCCTCCCCCCCATGCTAGTTCTAACATTTCAGTCATTTATGTCCAGTGGATGCATCTTCTGGCCCCACAGCACCTCACATTTTTCGCATAGCTGGGATGATGAAGTCCTTTGCCTGTAGGTCTTCCCACATCTTTCTAAATTGCAAATGAGTTCAGAACACAAAGATTTGTGTGTTAGTGAAGCTAGTGCTAAACGAAATTTATATAACTGAGTCCTTGATCAACCAAGTGTATGTTCTACATCTAGACTTGATGACTTCAGTGTAGGTATTGTATTTCAGTCTGATTTTACAATATGGTGAGTACCTTAAGCTTTCTGCAAGAGCACAGAATCACCGAATGGCCAGGGTTGGAAGGGACCTCAAGGATCATGAATCTCCAACCCCCTGCCACATGCAGGACCACCAACCTCCCCATTTAATACCAGACCAGGCTGCTCAGGGCTCCATCCAGTCTGGCCTGCACACCTCCAGGGATGGGGCATCCACAACCTCTCTGGGCAGCTGTTCCAGCACCTCACCACCCTCTCTGTAAAGAATTTCCCCCTGACATCCAACCTAAATCTTTCCTCCCTCAACTTAAAACCATATCCCCTTATCCTGCTAAGATTGAGGTTATTCAAATGAGAAGTAGCTCTAGCTCCTAGCTACACAGTAAAAAAAAATTAAAGCATCATTTTCCACAAAAGAAGTGGAAAAACAAGCTAGGATATATTGCAAAATGCAAGTGTCTTTTAAGAAATGTAGGGGTTTGGAGGAAGAATTTCTTGAATTGTTGTTCTTTTTCCTTTCCCTAATTTACTAGCACAGTGTTCTGAGGTTTTTTGGCTATTGCAATGATATCGACCGTGAGATGCGGAAGTGCTTAAAGAAAGAGGTAAGAAATAAATTTAACTCATTAAATAACTAATAAAAGGAAAAAGTCCGTAGGATAGAAAATGTTGTTCTTTTACTAAGCAGTACAAATCAGTGAATAGACTTTGATATGTAAGCCCATTCTGGGTTGGGCACTTTGGACCTCATTTATATGTTTTTGGGGGGATAAATTTAGCAGGAAAATCGCATAAATGAAGCTTGAAATTGAAATGGTGCTGAGACCAATCTGAGGTAGGAACATGCATCTCTCTACTTTTGGCAAGATTTGGCCCTGAAAGTAATAACTGGAATCACAGAGGGTGCTGGTAAAGGCAGTATTTTCCTGTGGAGATGTAAATGTATGTGCTGACACTTTACAGTGTTTTTTCTTTTCAGATTGAAAGTCTTGAAATAATTGCAGAGTACAATTCTGAATGATTACTTCTTGCACAAAACTTTGTTAAATAATAGTTACTTTTTGAATCTCTTAAACGAGATGGAAGGTTTAGATATGTCATTACAAATAGTGCAGTTTGGATGGGTATCTGGCTTTAACAAATAACATGGACTATATTTGGGTATACTAACAAAATACACGTTTTTTAACCTGCATTTAGTACTGCAAATAAGAACTGTCACTTCAAAGGTTGCTTCTGATCAGAACAATTTGGGTCCCTCTTTACCCATCTTCCTTCTATTTCTCTGTGGGAATTAATTTCATCTACTTGTGTCAAATACCATTCCCCTCCAAACTGTAGCAGGCATTTGGAAAACAAGTTTCATATAACCTTATTTTTCTTTCTTCCATTAAAGCTATTACACTGTAATGACTTCTTGAAGGCTATGTTTCTTCACCTGAAAATCTGGCTACACTGCTATTCTATTACTATGAAGTCTCTGTTCAAAAGTCCTGTGAGAAGCTGTTCACAGGTATAGAATAGATACAAAATAGGCACAGATGAAATTGCTAGAAGTCCATTGTGTTCTACATAATATCATAGGAGAATTGGTGGAAAAACAAATATTAGCAATATGGCATGGGGAAAAAAAATTAAGCATTCTGTTAATGTTAAGTGATGTTTCATGCCTTTCTTTCAGTTGTAAAACAGTCAGTATGATGAATGAAACACTGGAAACTCTTTCCAAAATCCATCTGCTTAGTAGTCTATTACATTATGTAGGGAATTGTGCATTTGTGGTTTCCTTAGTCTTTCATATTAATTATTAAAAAAAATTAACAAATATATGCTCTAAGCTAAGAGTTATTTGCATCTCCTGACAAATCTGTATAGTTTTTTTTTTCATTTCTTTTTAGCCATTAAGAAGGTTTCATTTTTGGCTCTAATGAAAGATTCTTCAGTCTTCAGACTCCAGCTAGTGCAGGAGCATATTTCAAAGATAGGCTTCACATTTGAGATACACACATGAATGCTTTCTTGATGTTGTTCACAATGGAGTTCCATTTCTTTTATTTTTTTAAACTGTACAAAAAATTATCCTAACTCAACCCATATTTGCCTTTGTTCCTTTCATCTTGGTATATTGCTTTATCTGTGCATATAATTAATGACCAGGATCAAAAATAGACCAAGCCTGTGATGACAAATTCGTATTTCAGAAGGCAGGCACACATGTTAGTCTGCATCTTTTAAAAGGAAAAGAGCCTGATCAGTGCTTTAGAATAGCATTAATGCAACTTTTTTTCTAGTTTGTGTGAAGTGTAGCTGTCAAACTTAAGATGGATATGTAATTAACTTCCTCCACAAGATTAATGGAATCTTTCTTTATTAGGATGTTCTAATACTCTTTAGCTTAATAACCTCTAACTTAGAAACTTGTGTTTTAATAAAATAAATGTTAATTTCAAAGTAGAAATGAATGGCTATATAGATATGAGGAACTACATATCTAACATTAGTTAAAGATACTGTTTCTGATCCTGAGTAATAAAGGCTCTGTATGTTTCAAATCTGACTTATCAGTTTGGTGGGAATAGCTGATCTAATAATTTCCCTCCTCTGTCTTCCAGTATGAAGAAAAAAGGGCCAGGAACAAGGAGTTGCGTCGGAAAATAATTAATGCTCACAAAAACTTGGAGAAGTGAGCTGTACCATACATGGACAATTGCATCTCAATAGGGACACTCACTTGAAAATTGACAGAATATCTCTTTCAAGTTGCCAATATTCAACCTGTGGTTTGTGAAACGGTGGAAAAATAAATGTACCTAAAACATACTAATTTCCAGAAACGTAAACTGAATGTGGGAAAAATAAACTGATTGCTCACAAGTTAATTTTTGGCCTCGAAAAGGCACCTGTTGTGACAACTCTTCATTCTGTTATAATTTTATTATGACTATTAAGTAATGATGTATCAAATATCAATGTGTGTGGAGTATTATGCATTCAAAGCTGCAGCATTCCCAATCCTGTGTTGAGTTGCATTTATTCCTTCACAGTTAGTAGTTTCTCTTTCACCTTTTTTTCCTCGCAAAATGCTGAATGATTTATTACAACACTATGAAGAGTGAATGAAAACATTGTTTAAATGGATTACTATAAATGAATTTCAAACCAATGTGGCTTGAAATTGAAGATGGCCTATCAAGCAATTAGTGGAGCTCTAGTATTTTTTGCTGAAGCCAAAATGACGAAATGACCATTTTCCATTGAGAACATTAAGAATTCCTCCTGCCAACTGTAAGCGCAGAATAGACTGCCGTAAGTTAACTTGTTTATCATACGTGATGCAGATTGCTTTAGAAACCCAGAATGGAACTTTTTCAGAGATTCTAAAGCACTGCCTTGATTTATACTGAGTGCAGTCAGAGTCTGCTGAGCGCTGCCAAAAATACCAGCTAAGTTGTTCATCTACGTTTGCTCGTACAAAGGGGGCGTCAACTCATGATTACTGCTGTTGGACAAAAACTCGGGTTAGAAAATGCATCTTGTCTTTCAGTTGCTCAAATCAATGAGCAGTGTGCTAGTCAAGCTGCCTTGTTAGCTACAAGTGTTGTTCTGAAGTGTCTAACTGCAGAAAGTTCTGAACGTGTTTCTGAATGCCAAGAATTTCATGAGGATGCTGTGTTGGTTTATGCAGCAGTGGAGCTGCTTTGTTGAATGTCTCTTGGATTTCCCTTTTGTTTTTTTTTTAATGACTTTTCTATTTTGCTTAGCAAAAAGACTCCTTAAAGTAAATTTTTTTGAGCTAAATATAAATAAATCTCTTGAAGCTTTTTGAGGAAAGAGTGTCTACTGTCAATGAATGCAGCAGTCTGTGTACCAATGCTAGTTCTTGTAACAGTCTTACATTTAGTTCTTGCATCTGTTTTGGAACAAAGCTGTATTTTGAAAGATTAGTTAGAAGTATTTGACTTGTTTTTCAATACGTGGATGGACCCAGTAGTGTTGGTAAAGCTTGACTGCAAAGGTATCCATGTAGAAGGGGAGAGTTCCACGAAAAACTGAAACTATTACTGCAGTATGTTTTGATGTGCTCTCTACTTTCTTAGGATAAATAAATGGTATGTTATGTAAATTAAATGCTCTAGTGGTTGGAAATGGTGCCGTTGGTGTTATAAGGATACTTTTGAAGAGGACTTCATAGTGGAGTTCCCAGAATGGGAACTTTGAATCTTTGACCCTTCCTTTTGTGAGGACAAAACATCTTAAGTAAGATTTGGTGTTGCCTGGAACCTATAAATAGAGAATTGTCTTAAAGATTAGGTTGAGAGGCTAATACCTGAGTGTAAAAGCACCGATGCTTTCTTTTATTCTTTTACCAGATTCTGTGATTCCAGATCTTTCACTAAATAGCAATAAAATAAGAACTGAAGAGATGCATAACATTGTGAGTATGCAGTTGTACTTCCAAGGATCAGTGCATTTAACAAATGAAAGCCCAAGTGTTGTGCACTGTTCATGACTTTATTTTCTCTTGCTGGGAGATCAAATGCTGACATCTCTTCCTTCAGAAGAGCCTGCTGAATAGCATAATGTACGTACGAAAGAGCGGGGCTAGCTCTTGCTCTAGTGTTAAACTCTGACTGTGAAGATCATTGTACTGGTGCTCAATTCTACTAGGAATAGCTTGGAACATTAGTTACCTGTCAGGGGAAATTAACATGAGTTATACTGCAGTGAGTGCTCAGTGGCTAGCTTGCTGTAAATTAACTCAGCACACCCTTCATCTGCAGCGCGTGCTCTGGTGCAACATAGCTTGCTGTGCCTCACAAATGTAATACTGGAGCAAAAGCAGCACCTATTGCTTAAGTGTTTGTAGCTCCATGCTGTTACAGAGATAAAAATTCAGTGCATCACTGTCTACCTTCATCCAGTTGAACAGTTGTCTTTCTCCCAGCTGATAAACTGGGTATTCATACAGTTAGGGTAACCGTTCCCAAACAGCAATGAATGGACTTCTACAGGCATGTGCAATTTCCTGAAAATTGGGGTGTACTAAAAAGAATCCCGTAAGAAATGCGGTTTTGATAAACACTGCACAGGAATGATTAATATGAATAGCTATATAACTGAAGCATGCAGCTGAAAAGTTAGAGTTATGCATGGTGTGAATCATTGTAATGAGTATTTCTGATGTTATTTATATACTTTGCTAAAGCTTTAGACAGGTATAGTGATTTAACAGGCATTTCTTAGTGTTGGCACTGCCCATGTTTTAAAAGAAGGCATGGCATCTAATATAAAATGATATATGTGGGGACTTTTATAGAATACATAAACTGATGTAAGCAATGTGAAAGATTTCAGAATCTGATGGTTTAAGGTTAACAATTAACATTTGTTCTCAAGCAAAGGGGATGCTGTGCTCGCACCAAGTAATGGATTGTAGGCTTAAGTTACAAATTCTGTATTATTAACATTCACTGAAGTGAAATATCATGGAAAATCCTAATTGTCCCGTTAGATTTGTTTATTTTATAGAAGCTTTTGCTTGTAACTTGCTAATTCTGATCCTACCGGGCACAAGGCGCAGCAGGGACCTGGTCCAAAACGTGCACTGGGGCACCGTGAGATCAGCCCTCTAACACCATGCTTGTACAAAAACCCTGGATAAAAACTTCTTAGCCTTAGCTGCCAGCAACCTAGGGCCACGTTGCTCTGAATGTAAGTACGCACTGCTCCAGCACTGGGCTGAAATGGTCATTTCCCGTCTTGTCATCACTCTGCTCCCTCAAAGTTACGCAGTTCTTTCCAAGCCGATGCGCTGAGCAGCAGCCGCGGCCATCGCTGCGGTTCCCTCCGTGCACTGTCCTTCAGAGCCCCGCGGGGCGTTCAGTTAGGGCTGTGCGGCTCAACCTCTCCGCCAGCCAGCAGCCCGGCACCGAGGGGCTTTGTGGTGGCTGCACGGGGAACGCATTGCTCATAAACCGGCTCACTGCACAGCCATCCCCGTCCCGACATCCATCCCGCGCCCGGCCCGCTCCGCTCCGGCGGCGGCCTCGCTCCACAGCGCCGCCTAGCGGTCCCGGCGGGAAGCGTCACGCCACGTGCAGTGGCCGCCATCTTGTGGTGCCCTGCTGTCCCCTGCAGCCACGTGTGGGTGCCGGCGTGGCTCTGCGCCTCAGGTAAATGCCGTGGTTTCCTCAGTGTTTTTTCAGGTGTTTCATTCCATGGAGCATTTCTGCGGCCCTCTGAGTGTGCTCCAATAGCTCCATGTCTCTCCTGTACTGGGGACTCCACACGTGAACGCAGTGCTTCAGCTGAGGTCTCACAGTAGAAGGATCTCCTCCCTCACCCTGCTGGCTGCCCTTCTTTTGATGCAGCCCAGGACAAAATTGGCCTTTGGGGCTGAGAGGACAGAGCTGGCTGATGTCCAGCCTGCCACCCACCAGCGTCCTCAGATCCTTTCCAGCAGGGCTGTTCTCTGCCCTTTTGTCCCCCATCTTGTCCTGACAGTGGAGGTTGCCATGACTCAGGTGCAAGGCCTTGTACTTGCTGAACCTCACTTGTTGCACTTTTTCACAGCTATGTATTCGTGTAGATCATTCTGTTGTATTGTGCTTTGCTTCATATTTTAACACTGCTAGTAATGAACATGTAAAGTATTTTGTGTGTAAGTGATGTTAGTGAGGCAGCCGCGGTTACAAGCAGCCCACAAAATCATATTCAATCAACGTTAAATATGTTCTACTTAATAGTTGTCTTTGGGATGCTTGCATTCCCAATTTAATTTAAGCTCTGCCCCGTTAGGGTTTCCAAAAACCTCAGAGGGAAACAAAAATCAAATCCCCAAATGAGTAATACTGAATGGAATAACAGATTGTTCCTAATTGGTCCGCAGTGTCTTCACTGAGGTGAATCTACACATGTGTGGTGTGCGACAGCAGACGGCCCAGACCTGGTTGCTGTTCACTGCTGTACAGTTTGCAGAGGGCACTCTTGGAGAATGTGTTTTGAGATACAAGTAGTTTTCATGATCAGAGAGTTCTCTTATTTTAACCAGGAACATAGGAGAGGCTGGCTGATTATTACATTTGGTGTGAGAAAAAAGGTTGAAATACTAAAAGGTTTTCTGGGAAGCCTGTTAGCCCCCGCTGAGATGCTGCTATGCTGCTGTTGGTTCTGTTTTGCAGAATGGCCAAGAATAGATAGTGTGAAGGCTAGCGAAAAGTAGCACCAAGGAAACCTGAAACTCTCATCCAGAGCTTCTTGGTGTGCAAAATGGAAGGTCTTAAATCATCTTGTAGCTGTCATGAGTTTTTCGGTGCTGGGCTTGTTCGAGAGTTCCTGTTTCTATGCTTGAGGCTGTGTTGTGAGGGGGAAGATCACGTAGTGGAGCTAAATCTGGTTGGGAAGTTGCATATTAATGCAGGAAGTCATGCATCAGGTGGAAACCAATTACAGTGTCCAATGTTCACCGAAAATGTTCCAGTGTCTTCTCATGTGTTAGAAGATACTGCATACAGAAGTTATGTATTACTTGTTATACTGGGGAAGGAGAAAGGACGTGGCTGCAAGTGAAGGGGGAATTGTCACTTTCAGCAGGACAGCAGGTGGAGGGCATTGTCCATTCGCAATTATCTTAATTGGATCAGGTTGAGTATCTGGGGAAGAACTTCAGAAGTTCTTTACTGGGATTTATTTGTAGCTTGATGCGGTTGGTATTGTTTCTGGCTACAGACCAACTGGCCTGTTTTAGCATATTGTTATGCTGTTCAGTTGAAGCTTCCTTAAGTCCTTACACAAAAAATGATAGTGATTTAAGTTATGCCTGGCAAGTGTAGGTCACATAAGCCTTCGTTTATATTGTGCCCTTTCCTTGGTTGAGTTACCTTCCATTTGAGGCCAAAAGACTGTACAGCAGTTCTTGTTTTATGTGGGTTATTAGGAAAAAAGAAGAGGAAAAATAAAGGCAGTGTTGTAGGCTTTCTAAAATTACTAGTGGTGGTCATGGTCCAAAGCTATGTTTGAAGTTGGATTGCACATGTATGCTTGTGTATGTATATTTGTGTGTATAAAAATAGGTACAACAGTAAAAGAAAGGAAATGGCAAATTTAACCACTACTTCAGCACTTTTCTTTAAATAACAATAATTTCTTATCATAAATACACATATTTCAATTGACTAGCAATGACAAGTAATGCAAGTTATTTTTGTTCTTGCCATAAACACTTCAAAGTAATTATGGTTTACTCTCCAAAGTTAAATCACCATATTCTCATCTTCATTTCAGCTTCCTCTGAAAGTGGTGATGAATAAATACTTTGACATAGCCCCTTGGGTTCTGTGGTGTGTTACAGAAAGGCAGCATTTAGTAGACACAGACAAAAATAGCCTGGAGAAACCTCAAGTTTATCAAGACACTTAGATTTTAGCTAGTGATGGATGTGAAACAAAATCATGGACTTTTACACATCTGTGAGCTGAAGTTCAGATTCAGATCTGTTTTTATTTTACAGCTTCCTCTTATCTCTGTAAGAAGAACCCAAACCATAGTTTCAAGCTTCTCATCCTAAGGATGAGATGTGTGGGCCTGAAGCTAAACCCAAATTTAGATGTGTGCTAGTTTTATCTTTTTCTTTTTTAAAGAACCAAAACATGAAAACTATTTTAGCAGCTGGCTGTTCAGTGTTCTATCATAGCTAAATTAGGATTCTTAATTTAAATGTAAAATTGGTGGTTAGGAAAGGGAAAATCACAAGATGCTTCCCTGAGACAGGTGGCAGGTGGCAAGTTTGCACACTATTTTCCTGGAAACTTACACTGGGTCACTTGATCTTG